GGCGTTCTCGGGGTCTGTCACGCGCTACAGCTGCCGCTCGTCGAGCTTCATCTTTCCCGTGCTCTGCATCTTCTGGAAGGCCATCATCACGTTCATCGGCTTGTACGTCTCGTTCCTCATTCGCCACGACGACGGCGACTTTCAAGAGTCGATCTGGATCTTCTCGTCGGCCTGCGTCGTGCTCATGGGCTCGCTCTTTATGATCTCGCTCGCATACCTCGTGACGCTTCCCGCTGCGACGACCTATGCGTTTTGCTCGGTCATTACGCTTGTCTGCACGGTGCGTCTTACGTGAAATTGATTTGATCTGAAAGATTCGCAGATCACGGTCATGGGCCTCATGCTTGGCCCCAAGTTTGCGCGTCTGAACCGCGCCGACTACAAGTCGTCCAACACGACGGGTGGCAACACAAAGCGCACCATCTCGGTGACGTCCAACAGACCGTCGAGCCAAGTGAGTCAAATGCCGATGCAGTCGGTCAAGAGTCCGCGCGACACGACGACCCAATAGAAAAAAGTTACTGTTGAGGACGACACGTGTGTATATATATATAAATCGGTTTATGCATTGTTCATTTAATGACACTTCTTTGTACTATGTTCTCACTGTCCCTTCGAAATACCTTACCTGCGACTTGCGCAGCCACAGTGCACTCATGCTGGCGCAGAGCAATGACTTGGTGGCATCTTCAGGCTCTTTGCTGAGGCATTCCGTGTCGCCGACTCTGACGTGAAGCAAGACTGTACCGGTAGACGCCGGATTGAAAAGTAAGAAAGTTCGGATGGGCTGTGCGTGCAAGCTAAATTGGGCGTGGCCGTTCGTGATGGAGGTTGTGCAGGTTGCAGGGAAGCCACCGCACAAGACACCTCGCGGCGACTCGGCTGTCTCCTTGACGTCGCACACTTCTTCGCCTCGCGACAATAAGACTTCTTCGCCTCGCGACAATAAGTGTGTCAAGTGTGGGCACGGGACAGAACAGCGTTACTGCGTCGAGAGCAATAGTATCGCGTCATCTCACGTGTCGTCAACGGCAGCGGTTTTCAACTCGGACTCAATCGGTGCACGCGAGTTTTGTGTTTCAATCCCTAAAATCAAATCGATGCTTGACTGGTTTTAGTCGCGTTTTCGAGTTATTGTGCTTGCTGATTGTAGTTGTGTCTGGGCTACTACATACACATTGGAAGAGCGCCTCCATACGACGACTACAAGCTGAGATGTCGTGTTCCAATGTTGGAGAGCGCTGTTCGGGGTGCAAAATTCAATTTTTGGGTTTTGATTGTTTCAGATGCAGTTTTTTACGTTGCATCGATCACGCAGACCTGGGCATAATTATACTTTCATGCTGAAAGTACGCGCACTTCATGCATGGTAAAAACTTGCTGAAAATTTCAGCAAGTCAATTTATGTATAGAGTTATCCCATATGGAGTAATCCCTTGGTTTTATTATTTTATATTTTTAGACCCATCGCGCGGCAAACGATTAGTTGTGAAACACCAGCGTCACACGAAAGACTATGCGCTGTGGGCTCGCGTTCTGGGCGCTTTGGGCGCTCGAGGTCGATATACATGCTTTATACTATGCGACACAACGCCACAAGACGCTATCGAATAGGTGGTCGCCGGAGCGCAGCCGTCGCTCGCTGACTCGCAACGGGGCACATGTCTCACGCCGGCGTGGGTCACAGCGACTGCTGCCAAGCACAACCTCGACCCGTCAGCGCGCGACGCGCAGAACCGCCGCAAGAACCCATTGCTGCAGCCAGGCATGAAAATGCCCCGCTTCACGGTAGGGATCACGCAGCGTCCTCCCGAGTGCGTCATCGGACCATTTATATGTATAGCTCACGGACGCCCGCATGGACATCCCAAACATCTTTGGCTCGTGCATGCAACCCGGCGAGATCTTTCGTGGCCTCGGCGAGACGGTACATCCAAACGGGTCGCAAGCAAGCGTCGGCGTCATCAAGGGAACAGTCGTCATGGAGCGCAACGCATGGCAGTCCCACGACCTCTCGCGTGTTGTCTTGACCATCTTGCTGCAGGAAGTGGTACGAGAGATGCGTACAGCGGCAAACGCACCGCTCATTAGGTCGGATACGGTGTCTCGATGTTTGAGACGGGGGGTGGTCTCTACTGTGCCGAGCGCATGTCGGGCCAGGGCCGCGGCCGCTGCTCGCCGACGCACATCAACCCCGAGGTCTGGCCGAGCGGCAAGCTCAGTACGCTCAACGTGTACGCCAACGAGACAGCGCCAACGACCAACGGCTACAACGGCGTGTACGACAAAACATCTGTTTTGGCTATTGTACGAAATCTGACGTGGCACGTCCAGTGGCGGTCTGTACACGCTCACCGACAACATCGACGAGGCGCTTAAGGGACCAATGTCGACCAAAGGTGCGGCATTGAGCAACTCGACGGCATACGTAGTGATGATGATGACATAGGCAACTTTTCGAGACCGTACTCGATCGACTTTTGGCGCGAGTTCAACTGGAGCCAAGAAGTGATCGACTTTTACAGCTACACACGAGCCAATGTCACGAGCCTCGTGCAAAAGAGCGCGTGCCCAGACGACACATTTGGGTGCAAGGATGGCTGCTCCAAGTCCTACGCGTGCACGCAGGCTGAGCAGCAAAGTCCGTATTTGTCGTGTGGTTGAAGCTCAGACAAAGTTTGACGTAGACAAGTCGTGCATTCTGGTGGCGCTCATGGAGTCCGCGTACGACCCGGGCTACTTCCAGTCCATCGTCGCCAACAACCATATTCCCGCGTACTTTTGCTTCTTTGGCTACACGGGCATGATCAATTACGTCATCAACGTCATGAACAGCGGCGGGTCCGTCATCTTTTACGAGTACGAGCCCGACAGCCTCTTCTTTCAATACCCGGGCAAGTTTACGCGTATCGCGTTTCCCCGCTCGGATCCCGCCAACGTGGCGCTTGCGACGGGCTCGTTTGGTGAGAAAGGCTACGGCAACGAGACCACCAACCCGCTCAGCACCGACTACCCGACGATCCCGCTCATGCGCTACATGTCCAAAGTCGTCACGACCGACACGTTTCTCAACTCGTTCCTCACGCGCATGCAACTCGCCCCGCTTGACATCAACAACATCTTTGCCGACTACGAAGCGTTTATGGCTAACGCTACGATCGCCGACCCGGTTTTCAACGCTGCTTGCAAGTGGGTCCAGAACAGCTACCTCACGTGGAGCAACTGGGTCGACGCGCTGCCTCTCTGCACGATGCAGTCCAACATTCAGTACACCTTTAACGGCTGCAACGCGTCGACGCGGGTCGTGACGTTTGCGTGGAACACGCCCCACCCTCGAACGCGTCACTGCCGTACGACTGCGAGGGCGGTATCGTGGTCGTGCCCCCGTCGTACGCCACGAGTAAGTCGTGCGACTGGCTCAGCGCCAACACCAAGACGTGGATGAACTGGATGAGCAGTCCGCCGATCTGCGATGCCTCGTTCTACAACTACACGGTCACCGACTGCACGTCCGGGTCGATCCGCGACGTGCTCTTCTACTGGCTCTTGCCCTCTCCGGGCAACTATGCGCTCAGTAGTGAGTGCAGCGGCGGCATCGCGCTGCCCACCAACACGACCATCGACTGCGACTACGTCCCCGTCAACTCGGGCGTACGTGATTCGACGCTGTCTTACATTTCTAACAAAAGGTTCGTAGACGTTCACGGGCATGGCGGCGTTCGCCGTCATCGTGCTCGTCATGCTCGTCGTCATGAGTCTCCTTGTCTTCTTCTTCCGTGACAAACCCGTCATCAAGCGGTCGCAGTGGCACCTTCTCTTGGTGCTGCTCCTCGGCGGCATCCTCATGTGCATTTACGTCATTGTGGGCGGCGGCGCGCCCTCCGACGTGGTGTGTGGCGCGCGGCCGGTCTTGGCCTCGGTCGGCTACACGCTCGCGTTTGGGTCGCTGCTCTTAAAGTCACTTCGCGTCTACTTGGTCTTCCACAACAAGGCGCTCAAGAAGAACGTCGTGACCGTCACGCGCATGCTCCACTTTCTGCTGGGGTTTCTCGGGATCGATCTCGGTACCCACTACTCCCTCGTGACTCACCTAATGGATGGACTAGTGATCCTCGGCGTCTGGTTCCTCGTCGACTTTCCAGGTCCGATGTCGCAGGTCGAGGCCGCAACGGCGTTCTCGGGGTCTGTCACGCGCTACGGCTGCCGCTCGTCGAGCTTCATCTTCCCCGTGCTCTGCATCTTCTGGAAGGCCATCATCACGTTCATCGGCTTGTACGTCTCGTTCCTCATTCGCCACGACGACGGCGACTTTCAAGAGTCGATCTGGATCTTCTCGTCGGCCTGCGTCGTGCTCATGGGCTCGCTCTTCATGATCTCGCTCGCGTACCTCGTGACGCTTCCCGCTGCGACGACGTATGCATTTTGCTCGGTCATCACGCTTGTCTGCACGGTGCGTCTTTGGTGAAATTGATTTGATCTGACAGATTCGCAGATCACGGTCATGGGCCTCATGCTTGGCCCCAAGTTTGCGCGTCTGAACCGCGCCGACTACAAGTCGTCCAACACGACGGGCGGCAACACAAAGCGCACAGTGTCGGTGACGTCCAACAAGCCGTCGAGCCAAGTGAGTCAAATGCCGATGCAGTCGATGAAGAGTCCGCGCGACACGACGACCCAATAAGACGTAAACGTCTTGTCCTGAGTGGCATCGATGGACGAATACTCCATGGGTAGAAAAGATCTTGCACTTGTGTACATAATACAAACATGCATTTTGTGTGGTACGGATTGTGGTATGACTGTTGCCCGTGGCTTATTTTCATGTTATAACCAACGTGACCGACTGGCCCTCTGTATTCTGGCAAGTTCATGCTCAAGGTTGGACTTGTCTTGGAATGTCTGTCCAAGCTCGGAGACATGACGCCATTGCAATGACCAACACCATGCGCAGTCATGTCGGCTCGTGGAGCATCGATCATGCATGGTCGCACCGAGATCCTTCTGAGAACGCGCCGCGCTGAGACCATGTCGAAGCGCGCGTGGCGCGTCGTCAGCACTATTAAATAAGATTATTTTTAATATGATTCGGATTGGCTCGTTGCGTCACTGATGATGGCTGTCGCCTCACCCGGCGTAAAGCACCTGCATTTTGATGATGGCAATAGCCAGTTGGACGTGGACATGGCGTCTACAACGTGTCGTTTCCATTCGAAGTGACTATGGGTGTACCTCCCTCTGGGCACGTTTACCCGCAAGTCGATGACGCCGTCATCGAGGCTCGCCACTGCCCACCGTCCCTCATTATTAATTTTGCGACAACCATGGCAACAACACCAGCGCTGGCGACGACGCCCGACTTTGTGCTTTTACCCGACGAGAAGCCCGACTACGCTGCAGAAGCCAAGGCGCTGCTGCAGCTCGGGGGACCCGTAGTATGTCTCACATGATAGACGAATGAACGTGGCTTAGCTGGTTGATGCTAGATTTTCACGCTGCTCATGGAAGTGCTGCCGAGTGCCACCAACATGGTGCTTGTCTCGACGCTCAATAGTCCACACACCAAAGAGCACGTCGACGCTGCGTCGCTTTCGGGCATGGTAAAGTCCATCATTTTTCATTCGCGGAAACAAATAACCTCGATGCACATTAGTACCTCAACATTACGGCCATGTCGGTGGGTCTCGGTATGGCCACGGCCATGGACACGCTGTGCAACCAAGCATTTGGCGCCAACAACACCAAAAAGTTTGGCGTCTACCTCCAGAGTGCGCTCCTTGGGATGGCAGTGGTACCCGTATTTCCTCGTCCAGTCTACATCTCTTTTATGCGAGTAGACGTTTGTTCCAGTCTTCGTCCTCAATTGGTTCTCTGGGGCCATTCTCCTCGGGCTTGGGCAACACGAACACCTCTCGGAGCTCACGGGTGACTTCACGCGCATCACGCTCATTGGCATTCCGTTTCTGTACATTTACGAGATCCTCAAGAAGACGCTCCAGGCGTACAACATCGTCGGGCCCATGGCCGCCATGGCGGTCGTCGCCAACGTCATCCACATCGGTCTCGGCTACTGCCTCGTGCAGTACACGTCGCTGGGGTTCTACGGCGCCGCTGTCGCGCGCTCCATGAGCTCGGTGACGCTGCCAATGATGATGGCCATCTACTTTCGGTTCTACCCTGTCCACCGCGAGTGGGAGTTTACGCGGTCGATCAAGGTTGCGGCACGTCACATGCCAAAGTTCTTCCGCTACGGCGTCCCCGGCATGCTCATGATGATGATCGAGTGGGGTGCATTTGAAGTGCTCACGCTTCTCTCTGGCGTCATGGCCGACCCCGTCGTCAAGATCGGTGTCATGTCGGTACACACCTCACTGTTTGCGAGCCGAATGTTGACTCGTTCGCTTGTAGATTCTCACTCAAGTGCTCTCGATCTCGTACCTTGTCTACCTCGGCATGTCGATTGCAGCGACGATCCGCATCGGCAGCATGTTGGGCGCCAAGAACCACACGCAAGCCATCGTCATCGCCAAGGTCGCGTACGGCCTTTGCGCCTGCGGCACGATCCTCACGGCGTCGGCGCTGATTCTTGCGCGGCACGCTCTGCCGACGATCTTTCTCAACGACCCAGAGATCATCGAGTACGTACCAGTATGGTGCGGATAAAATCTGACGACGTGGCTTAGGCTCACAGCCACCATGCTGCTCTATGCGATCCCTGGGCACGTCCTGGACGGTGTCAATGCTGTCTCCCACGGTGTCTTTCACGCCATGGGCCTGCAGTCCAAGGCCACGATCATCAACGCAGTCGCGTTCTACATCGTGGGCGTTCCTCTCGCAGCCGTGTTTGGTTTTCCCTGCAACTTGGAGCTGAAGGGGCTCTGGCTCGGGTTTACGCTCGGGTCGCTCACGTGCTGCGTGCTCTACGCTGTCTGGCTTCGTCGCCTCGACTGGAAGCAGCTTGCCGAGGCTATCGCAGGCCAGCACCAGTACTAGCCGTAATCGAGTGAATCCAAAACATTTTTTTGCACGAGAGGAGAGCGTATTCTGAAAGGAAAAATGGAGGCTCGCATCCGTGTTCGAGTGGACCAATCCGAAGCCTCGAATAGTGACGTGGCATCGCCAGCGACAGGGTTCGGCGCGAGGGGGAAACGCAACACACCTTGTTGTTGTTGAAGTGGGTCGTCTATTACAATAGATAAAACTATGCTAATAAAATTGTCGGACTTTCTTCGTTGTGTGTACTCTTTTGAGGGACTTGATTTAGGCAGGCGGAGGCAGGAGCGCGATCCGCGGGACGAGGTGACGGCAACACACCTTGTTCAGGCCGCCAATTGTGGTCAAACGAGCCAAGTGTCTTCATTCAAGTGGACTGTACCGGCCCAGTCGCTACTTTGGAAGCGCGCAGGTCTGGTGCACCAATCAAGTCGACCTCGCAACGGTACGTTGGGGATCATGCGAGGAGCAAAATTAACATGCACGACTAACAACAGCCAATGTGGCTTTGAGTCATCCATTGGTCCGATCTCCGTACAGTTTGTCGGCCGGTCGTCGTTGCTTCAACGTTCACCGTCTCAGACCTCGAAGGGAAGGTGCACGTCGCCTCTATAAACATATCATCTACGGCGCTTGGACTGGACAAGCTGCGATTCCGTACCATCCTCGCAACCTCCATCGCTATCTCCGTCGTGTTGGGTTCTGCCTCCTTTGCGCAGAAGGCGAAAGGGCAAGTTCAACATCCCCCTCGTCGTTTTGCCCACTCGGGACAAATGGGCAAATCTTGTCAACATCCCACTGCCTTACAAACCCCAAGATGGTTCTCGTGATGGGCGTGACACACGTGGGATAAACGTGGATATGTCCCACGGAGCGCCCACGGATCATCCATCAGTGGTGGCGGCCACGACGCTGTTCACTTTACCATTGCCATGACCGGACTGCAATCGACGACGGAGAAGACGCCGCTCGTGCTTGAGAGCGCCAAGCCAACTGCGCTCGGGCTCCTTGCCGACGACTCCAAGCCCGACCTTCTGGAAGAGGCCAAAGTCCTCGTCGCCCTCGCCGGCCCCGTGGTACGTGCGACCGTTAGCGTCAGGCGCAGCTCGTCAAGATGACACGCGTATGACTAGATGTTTACCCTCTTCATGGAGGTGCTTCCGAGCACCACCAACATGGTCCTCGTCGGTCAAATGAACTCGACCGACACCAAGGAGTTTGTGGATGCTGCGTCCATCTCGGGCCTCGTACGTCCGACTCCATGTGGTTGATGGCTGGCTCATCATGCGTCTGTATGCTAATAGTACGTCAACATCACGGCCATTTGCGGCGGCCTCGGCATGGCCACCGCCATGGACACGCTCTGCACGCAGGCGTACGGCGCCGGCAACATCAAAAAGTTTGGCGCGTACCTCCAAGGCGCGCTCCTCGGGATGGCACTGGTGCGTAGTAGAACTTCTTATTGTCTTGATTGTCTGAAGCTTATTTGTAGACGCTTTTGCCCGTGTTTGTACTTACGTGGTTCACGGAGGCCGTCTTGCTGGCGCTCGGTCAGGACGCGACGATCGCGGCGCTTGCAGGCACCTTTACGCGCCTTACGATGGTCGGGTTTCCGTTCTTCTACATCTACGAGCTCCTCAAGAAGATGCTGCAAGCGTACAACATTGTACATCCGATGGCGGCCATGGTCGTCCTCGGCAATATCATCCACATTTGCCTCGGCTACTACCTCGTGCACCACACGTCGTACGGCTTTTACGGCGCTGCGATCGCGCGCTCCGTGAGCTACATCTCGCTGCCACTCATGATGGTCCCGTACTTTTGCTTCAACCCGGTGCACCACGAATGGGCGATCCAGTGGTCGTGGGCCGAAGCGACGGCGCAGCTGCCCGCGTTCTTTCGCTACGGCGTCCCCGGTATGCTCATGATGGTCATCGAGTGGGGCGCGTTCGAGATCCTCACGCTCATGGCCGGCATCATGCCCAACGCGATCGTCGACATTGGTGTCATGTCGGTACGTCCCTGTATCTCAACTTGGCATCACCCTCCTCTCTTTCTTATTCGTGTCGTAGATTCTGAGCCAAATCCTCACCATCACGTACCTCGTGTACATGGGCATGGCGGTGGCTGCAACGATCCGCGTCGGCAACATGGCAGGCGCCAACAAGCCCGCGCACGCGCAGCTGATCGTGAAGCTGACATATGTCATTTGCGCAATCTGCATGGTCTTTGTTGTCGGCGCGATGGTCTTGTCCCGCCACAGTTTGCCCGGCCTCTTCATCTCGGACCCGGAAGTTGTGCAGTACGTACACCTGGCATGTATGTCGTTGTGCAGCGCATCTCATGGTCGCGTAGGTTGACGGCGACGATCTTGCTGTTTACGCTGCCAGGACACATGCTCGATGGCATGAATGCTGTCTCGCAAGGCATCTTCCGCGCGACGGGCCAGCAGAGCATGGCCACGGTCGTGAACGCCGCCGCGTTTTACCTTGTGGGCATTCCACTCGCAGCGTTTTTTGGGTTTTACGTCGACTGGGGTGTCCACGGCCTCTGGGTCGGCTTCACACACGGGTCGCTGACGGCATTTGTTCTCTACATGGTCGCGCTCTACCGCGTCGACTGGCCCGCGACGACCCAAGCCATTGCGCTCCAGCACGTGGATATGTAGATTGCTACTGATATAGTAGACAACTTGCCCATTGTACTTTGACAGAAGGACACAAGCGACTCGTGGAGGGGTAGGGTACGCGTGTGAACGTCGCAAGGAATACTATGCAGCGCGGTTCGTTAGACTGTAACCACGCCTAGTGCCTTCTTGCAAGAGCTTTGGGATATCGGAAGGGATGGTGTACAGTAGCAGCAGTTAGAAACGTGCCTAGTCGTGGCGCGACCGCTTCCGGTCGCGCGATCGGGACCGCGATCGTCGGCTGCTGCGGTCGCGGGATCGAGACCGCTTGCTCGACGCCTTTTTCGCTTCCTTTTTCTTTTCTTTCTTTTCTTTCTTTTCCTTTTTCTCCTTTTTTTCCTTTTTGAGCTTTTTGGGCTTCTTGTCGTCGCCCGCGGTCGCCGAGCCAGGAATCGCGTACGTCAGGTCTTCCTTGCCGTAGTTGGCCTCGTACCGCTCGGCCATTGTCGTCTTGCGGTAGTTCGGGTCTTCGTACCCCGTGACAAAGTGAGCAGCGCCAACGCCTTGGACACGCTCGGCGTCGCCATCGCCTCGCTCCGTCACGCCACGGCGGAGGAGCTCCTTCATCTCGTTCGCATCGAGACCTCCGACTTGACGCCGCTGCTTGGGTGCAATACCACTACGATCATATACGACGTGGCATGAGGCCAAGATGGAATAGCCCGTAGGAGAACGTACAGCGCTTCGTTCATAAGGTCCTCGTCGCGCTGCCGAGCAAGCGCTATTTCGTCAGCGAGCGCCGCGCTTTGCTCCGCCTTGGTCTTGGCATACCACGTGAGGTCCTTGCCTACGTGCGAGCGTCGGAAATGGGGCGAGAGGTGCGTGCGTTTACCTTTGGCCCAGCGGCCGACGGGTGCCTGGAGCGAGTGGCCCAGGTAGTTCTCGCGGTACTTGTCGTTCTTGACATCGTCCCACTTGAACTCTACAGTGGGCGTGAGGCCATGCAGCGGCAGGCGGGCAGCGTACGGTCTTGGCCACCGCGGGTTCCGCCGACGCGGTAGTTGGTCTTCCCAAAGCTCATCGGTCCAGGAGTGGGTCCAGGCGAAATGCCTAGAATCCTAATTCCATTCGTCCTAAATTAGGAAACTTTGACCGAATTTTGCCTCAACCGCCATTGCAGTCACACAGCCGTCGCTGCCAACGGAGGATGGAGCACCTGGACCTGTACCTCAAGGCCGACCGCGACGCCGTCGACAAGGCCAACGGCAACGAGCGCTGCACAATGTACATCATCTTCCTGCGCAACCTGTCGACGGACCACAAGTACACGGCGAAGCGCCGGTACTCGGACTTCTACGAGCTCCGGAACCAGATCTTATGCCTTATTGAAGGCCACTGCGACCGCTGCAACCAGCACTACGAGGACATCAAGTCGTACCCGTTCCCAAGCCGGACGCTCTTTCCTCTGCTGGCGGCGCAGACAAGCGTCATCACCGAGCGCATCGACAGCCTCTGTCTCTTCCTCAAGGACATGCTCCGCCACGTGCTCGAGCGTCCGTTCGACCTGTGCGCCCACACGGACACTACGATCCGAAGAAAGCTCATCGTCGAGTTCCTCGAGCTCGACGAGGCTAATGTCATGCCCCGCCCGCGCGTGCACCCGGCGGACGACGTGCGCAAAACCCCGAACCCCCGACCTGTCAAGCCGCCCCACAGCAAGTCGCCGCGAAAGGCCCGCGTCGCTGCCGACACGTGTCCGAAGTGCATGGACACGTGGATCAACTGCCTCTGTGACGACCAAGACGATGCGCGTGTCGGCCCCCGGCGCCACTCGGACAGGTGATCGCATGCAGTCTTGTTAATGCTCCAAACCAATCTCTCGTCGTTCTGTGCTTGTGGATGCTACCCACCCCCACTAAACGTTGCCCGAATTGTTGCTCTGTGAGAATACTCATAGCTGAACTCATGCTCGTTGGTCCGAGAAGCGAGTACCAGCGCTGCGTGAACGTTGATTTCACGCAACGCTACAATCAACTCAACGCCGTTGATTTCCGATTCAAAGCTCATTTATCACGGCGCGTCCATTCGTGCTCCATCCCGTGGCGCTTTGTACGGCGCCAGAGACAGCGATGTCTTGGGCGGGCACGCGTCGGGCGCGCTCGCACTCGTGCAGTCGACCTGCTCGGCCGTGGCGATCGCGCCGTGTGGCTTGCTCCAGCAACTCCGAACGGCCGATAGGAAGAGAGATTCGTCTCGCTGCACGCAATGCACCTCGACAGTGTGCGTATAGAGGCTCTGGATCGTCTCAGTTGTCATCACTGGCGTGTCGCTTCCCGCCACCGCGTTGATGGCTGTCGTTGCTGCCGAGAGGCGCTGGGCGACCGCCAACGTATCTGCAAAGTATCGCGCGGCGGCGTCTTCGTAGCCGCTGCTGGCGTCGGTGTAGCAGAGACCGTGCTTTTGGAACTCGTGGTTCCACAGCTCGCAGGTCATGTCAATGGGCACCAGCTGCGTCGCGTCTGTCCATGCGTCAATCATGTCGGCCAGCAACGACGGAAACCTGGTCGTCCACGTATATGGATTGAACGGCCGGTTCAAGGTCGTGGCGCTTGTATTGCAGCACGCAGGGTACCCGCCGTCATAGTTGGGCCATAGGCCGTGGATCAACAGGCGGCTCGGCACCGACGCCATCTTGCAGTGGATACCAAGCGGGTAGGCCGCGACGGGGCGGTGCGTAAGCGTCGGGTCTGTACCCGTAAGCAAGTCGCGGCAAAACTGCGGAAGAAAGAGCTGGTCGAGGAGCAAGGTGTCATAGTCGCCGGGCTGTTGGCGCTTGTGGATGCAGTCGGTCGTGTTGGTAAAGCACGTCGGGTATGGACTCGCGCCGACGCAGATGTCGACGCAGGTCGCTTTACCCGGGGCCCACCCCCCCAGGGTAGTCGGTCGAGACTGTCGGCCGTGGCCCGTTTGCTGGCGACCACACCAAGAGCGAGGCGACGGGGCTGATGCTGACGACCGCAGTTGCCAGCGCCAGCCTGGTCATCTCTAAAATGGAAAGACTTCGCATCTTTATCCGTACCTGGCGCGTCAACCGGATAGCGCATTCGGTGCGATGACGTGGCTGGCTGAGGTCTCCTTGCCGTCCAAGAGACGTTTCAATGACATGGCGTAGCTTGTTGGCACTGGCGATCGCTGTTGCGCAGTTCCAAGCTCACGGTGGCGCATCCTTTGATTGCCCATACAAGCGCAGGCGCCATCTGGTTCGACTTGAAGTTGGGCGATTTGCACGTGGCACGGTGGCCAACGAGCGGCTGCCACCGCGCCATTAGTCCACAGCGCCCGGAACGGTCCCGTCGGAAGGTCCACAATTCCCACGGACAACATTGCACGCTGCAATCAGAATGCATAGCGACGACCTTGAGTTGGCAGGCTGCAGAGATTGCACAACCGGTAGACGCTCGCAAAACGATGTGGAAAGCAAGGATATCTTGACGCAAACTAACAACGCTACAAGGACGAGTCTATTTAATGGTCGGCTTCATCGCAGTGCTTCTGGTACGCCGCTTCGTCGAGAAGTTCGCTCGTCTCGGCAGGGTTCGTGAGCTTGATCTTCATGAACCAGCCGTTCTCGAGCGGGCTCTCGTTGACGAGCTCGGGCGACGAGGCAAGGACCTCGTTGACCTCGATGACTTCGCCCGACGCCGGCGCGTAGACGTCGCTGGCGGCCTTGACCGACTCGACCGAGCCGAACGACTCGCCCTTGGCGAACTTCTGGCCGACGCTCGGGAGGTCGACGTACACAATGTCGCCGAGCGCGGTCTGGGCGAAATCCGTAATGCCGACCGTGGCCTCGTTGCCGTTGATGATGAGGTACTCGTGCTCGGGCGTGAACTTGGTCGCGAAGCTGCGGCGGGCGAGCGCCGGCGAGCGCACAGCGGAGCGGAAGACACGGGACAGCATTGTTCAGCGACGGCGGGTGGGCAAAATCGAAAGTGACCTCGAGCGTCCAGCGTCAGCCTCCCAGATCTTATGCTCGTATCCGGACAATTCGCCAGCTGCCGCCAGATACGACTTGCTTTCTCTATACTATGGGCGCTTTTCCGGATACGCTTGGGTGGGCACCCGGTTCCAAGCCAATGAATACGGCGATTGCTCCCACATTCAAGCTTCAATTGGGATCTCTCACCAGATTGCGCAGCATTTGTTTTCCAAAGACATCAAGTGCGCGATTCCATGTAGTTTGAGAGGTTCTTCCCGAGGCTCTGCGAGAGCTTTCTCGACCAAGGACGGTCGATGCACGCGTCCCGACGTACTCGTTTGCCTTGAGCTATCGGCGTTGATGCATTGCCGGGTAATCAATCTACTTTGACAAATAGGATCTGGCGGTCGCAATGTAGAGGAATCCACCCAAGTGAAGTTGGCTGCAAGTGCATTCCATGCGATACAAGCTTGTCAGAAGGGCGTCGATGCACGTGAGCCACTTGGCTCGAGCTGAGCGATGCCATCAAGCTCGTGTAAGCAGCTGAACAACCAAAGATTCCCAGCCAGCGCAAGTGCAAGGTGTAGGCGCATCGGCGCTGTAACCGGATATTTCGGTTGAAAAGATCGCAGTATAAATACCAAGCGCCGTCTTGGATCCACTTCCTTCACAACGAGACGACAGAAGCCCAATGGAGATGCGAGGAAAGCCCACGACGACGACGACGAAGATGATGCTGCTGCTACAGGCGCTCGCGCTCGTCTGCGCGCAGACGGTCACCGAGCATGACGGGCTGCTCCAAGACACGAATGCGATGAACGTGGCCAAGGCCGAGCAGGCGGCGCGCGACGCGGTCCGCGACGAGGAGAACGTCTCGCTGCTATTGGGGTCCGGCGTCATCGTTGTCGCTGGCGTCGGGATGCTCGGCATCATCGCGTACATCGTGTACACGCAGCACAAGCGCAACGTTGCACGCGACGAAGACAACCAGCTCATGAAGTCGCTCCTCGACAGCGAAATGGACTACGCAGCCATGTAGAAGCTGCTTACAGCAATAGAGTCCGCGTCTTCGTGTATCGACGCCTACGCTGGTTCTGGGGCGTTGATGAGGCCGTGGATGAGCCACAGCTCGAGCATCTCTTGTCGGTCGTAGGCGAACGCTTGGGGAATCCCGTGCATGGAAAGGCGCGTCGCTGCCAAGAACGGCGTCGCCGCCTTCGCCGAGCAATCTTTGCATGCGTAGCGCGTACGGCCGCGCTCGGTCAAGCTGGGCGACGCGAGTGTCACATGACGGCAAATCCTGGCCTCGAAGGCGTCGTAGCCGAGATGGACAACCGATAGCGTCACCGCCGAGAACACGGCCTACGCGTCCGTGTCAGTAGTTGCGCTAGCTATGGGCTCTCAACCCGCTTCTCCGTGGCGATGATGGCCGTCCGACTTGCATTCTCCAGCAGGAGCTCGGTGAGCTTGGTCAAGAACGCGTCCGCGACGTCATCGTCATACAACACGTCGCTAGGTACAAGTGTGCTATGGAAAATGGCTACCTCACGACACATACTACCTCGCAAGCACAAAGCGAGCGCGCTCCAGCGCGGTGCGATCGCGGTTCGACCAGCCGAACGGTTCCACGGCCAGCGGCAATCCACGCCTCGTCCAATCCAAACGACGCAGTCGGCACGGACCCTACCCACGACTCAACCGACGCCAACCACGCAGCTGATTTGATACGTGCAAGTTCCAGCGAAGGTTCTCGTCGGCGATCGCGAGCGCATCGACGTCGCAGTCCGTGGCCAGCACGAGCTTGGCGACGCCAGAGAGCACGAGACTGGCGAGGCCTAGACAAGCTCGTTTACCGAGCGCAGCCGGATCCAGTAGACGGTACCGATGCCACAGCCAAGCTCGAGAATTGTCTCGTCTGCAAAGACACTGGCGTGGTGCAAGGCAAAGTCGACGAGGAGGAAGGCGGCGCGCCACACCTGCACACCCGACTTGTCCGCCATGCAGTCGCGCTGAACGCGCAATGATATCTCGCTAGTCGACGCTTTCATGCGCTTTCGAGCGACGTCGACGTCTCCGTCGGCGTCGATCATTGGCGCGTTCGGATCGCTCGGCCGTGCCTACGCCACCGACGTCAGCGGCCAGTGGACTTGCTTGCCGTATACGAGAGGCTGTATGCGCAGCGTCGTGAGGCCCCCCTCGAAAGCTATGCCATAGCCTTTGTGAGATTGCCACCGAAGAACCGTAGTACGTCGTCGTTGCCACGGATCTCCTCGACGACTTCGGACTGGATGCGATGGGCCATGGCTGCCCCAATTACAAATCCAAACGCTGATTGGTGGACGCGGCGGCCCGGCACCGTGAGCTCGTACCACAGGATAGCTGCGTTGCTCCATACCCTCTTGTTTGCCTCGACGGGCCATTGCGAACGCGAGTAGTTAGCACTGCTACGTTGGATTTCGCTGCTCTTAACGATTGCTCTTGAGCATGCTGACAGATGACGTGGCAAGGTCGTGGCGCATCCGGATATAATGTTCGGATAAGGCTTTTTCGAGACCTTTCGAGCTTTTCGCGCATCTTGTTCGCGAAGTCGCGTACTTCCAGTCGAAGACATCGCTGTCGGGATCAGGGATCGCGACTGCCGTCATTATCTAATTTACTATCGAATTGCAACATGAGCTACATGGAGAAGCCCAGCACCGAGACGACTGCCGCCAAGGAGACGCCGGCGACCACCGAAGACTACGAGATCGTCAACATGCCAACGCCAGACGTGGCGCCAACGCCAGAGGGCCCAATGGAACATGACATCTCGATCGACGGCGTACAAGACGAGGCCACCGCGGATAGCACACAGGAAGAAAACGTGAGCAAGCCCGAGGCAGCTCACGTCACTCACGAGATAGCCCAGCCGGAGCTTCCAGCAACCCGCATCCAGGCGTCTCCAAGTGCCGAAATGACACCCGAGGCAACGACAGAGCTTGCCGCACAAGCGCCGGAGAGCCGACTCGACACGACGAGCTTGCACCGCGCGATGAGGAACCCACAAACGAAGAACCACGTACCGAAGAGCAACCAACCGCTCGCGACGAGGACCAAGCTGCGGCAGCGACGACGACCCAGCCACCAACGTTAACGTCCAGAACCAGCGCCCCGTATGCGTTCAAGCGTGTGCCCGTCGTGTCTCGGGAAGAACAGAAGCGCGCTATGGCAGGCAAGTCCGCAGAGGTGACACCACCGACCTCTGAACCCGCCATGCCATTCATCTTTATGCAGTCGTTCCCGACGTCCCCTTCCCCGACGCACAAGGGCCATGCCAGCACCACCCCGCAGCATAAAGTCCACACACCACCGCAGCCCAAGCACATTCGCATCGTCGCGCAGCCGCCGGAGCAGCCCAAGAAGCCCGTGACGGTCACAGTTCGCGTCAACGGCGTGCCCGTTGCGCGCGAGGTCGTGGGCGACGAAGATATTGTGTTTGACATCCAAGCTCCGCAGCCGCCGCGCGCCGACTACGCCGCCGAGATCGCCCGACTCCAGCGTCTCCAAGAGGCCCAAGAGGCGCTCGACCGCCGCCTGTGGCTTTCGCAAACTGGTATCCCCCACCGCCCCACGCTCCACGAGGTTTCATACAATGCACAGCCCCGCGTCTATTACATGTACTAATTAAGCACTTGGTCCATAACATGAAAATGCACTTTTTGTCGTCCAAAAGAAGTCAATTGGTACATTTGAATCGATTCGTAAATTATACTGCCTACCAAATCTCAATGGCGTCGTGGAGGCGCGAGACTTCGTCGTCGGGGACGCTTTCGTTGTGGCTGTTCTGGCCCACTTGCTCAATCTCGTTGGCAATGGCTAAATCCAAGTCGACCGCCTGCGTGAGTTTGTCAAAGAAGGACGCTTCGTAGGCCGCGAGCGGATCGAGTGCGTCGGGGGCTTCTGCCGGGAGCTCGCTCAGCAGCACCATGTGCCCCGCATTCAAGTCATCGACAGCGTCGCGGAACGTCCAGTCCTTGCATACGGCGCCAAACGGCGTGTGGAGACCCAGTGGCGTCGGCGTCCAAGCAGCACAGCGCGTCCATGCTGCTGCCGACGCCTCGGGCTTGTTGAGTCGGGCGTGCGTCGTGGGCAGGTCGATGTACGTGGCGAGTGTGCCACAGAGCGGTCGGACCTATGAACGCACCCGATAAGACACTTTCAAGTGACGAAAGGCGAACGTCTGGGTGGTCACTCTGACGCAGAATCGCGTGGGCTTCGGCAAGCCCGTCGAAAAAGGTATCGCTGCGCGCCCACGCGTCGCCCTGGGCAAAGAAGAAAATCCACTTGGAGGCACTGGCGACCATCGACGGATCCGCAGTCACGTGCGAGGCAAGCGCGACCACCATGGCGGCGTCCAGGAGCGGCCAGATGGCTTGGAGTTCGCAGCAGAGCGCAATCGCGCTGGCCTCGTTCGTGCTTGGCGCCAAGAGCAAGCCCACAGCTACTCGCGCACCGTAAGCATCAAATGCACACGGCGACACAGACCTTTGGGTGTCGTGGGATCGGCCGCTGCAGCGGACGACGTGTACGGTGGGCCGGAGACGAGAAGGGGCACAACGATCTTTGCGAGCGCGTCGAGATCCTGCACCATGAGCGGCCCAAGCGGCTCGTTTGTTTCTACTCGATTGTGAGCCAACGGGTGAGGATGACAGCGGACGTTACCGAGACAGCGACGCAGGAGACCCTCGATGCGAGCGACGCGTTCGAGAATGGAGGCTTCCTGCGGCTGCCAATAGTGCTCAAAAAGCCACTTCCACAGCGTCTGGGCTGCGAGCTGCAGCGTCGGCAGCGCCGGCAGCTTGGTGTGCGCCGACTCGTGCCGAATATCGACGACCCAGAGCGGGATGCCGATGCGCATGGCGAGCGTGCTCACCGGCATCGCGTACGCGCCCTTCTGCGACGCGTCGACGAGACCGTTGACGCAGCGCAAGATCGTGGCCGCGTACAGCAGCCGCAGCTCTTCGTACGACCGGTACATGGACCGGCCAGGCGTCGCGAGGCCGTACGCTCCGTCGTGGCAGCCGATCTCTGCCAGCTGCGCCGTGACCTCGATTGCAACGGGCACATCACTGCGAGCGCGCCAGGTGGCGATGCGCGCGAGGCCACGCAGCTTGTCGTCATTGGTGGCGTCCCGATGCAGCTCGGCCGCGAAGAGCGCCCGGTAGACCTGCTGCCACTCATGCCAGTCCATCCAGACGGCGAAGGCGCGCCGCCCGGCATAGAGGTAGTCCTTGTCTCTGATGACAGGGCTGCCTTGGGGCGCGACGGCAGGAACCTCTACATAGGCAGTGAGAGCGCCGTCGAGGTCGTTGCTGCGGGATACCAGTGTCAACCTCCATGATTGCGGCCTTTGAAAATGAACCAACCAGCGCCATGTCGAGTTTAACCTGGGGTAAATGTGTTTACCCTCTTTAATTACCGGTTTACTAGCGGTTAAACGTGGCGGTTTCACGGCGGCGACGCAATCTGTTCGCAAGCCCAAGGAGCCCTGAATGAGCTGCCGACTGCATGCGATGAAGGCACGCTTCCTCGTCACCGTGGTCCAGTGATTGAAGTATAGAACCGTGCAGTGAACCTAGATACCCCAGCACCCACATCGCTGCGTAGCTGCATGTACCTAGGGCAATGACGATCGTCATTCGAGCTAAACGTTGTACTCAAGACAGACTGCGTGCTATCGGACTCATGGCGTGAGTCGGCGTCACCCTATAGCTTGTGCCATTGACAGCGCGGAGTCGTGCCGCGTTTAACCCATCTTACGTTAAACACGTTGCTCGGTCTTTGCCCGACCAGATGATATTATTAAACACACGTATATATGACATTGTATGAAGAAATAAAATGCTGTAAAGTATCACACCGGGTGGGCATAAACATGGGGTTGCAATCTTTTCTGCCGCCCATGCGCCGAGAAGCGCTGGTCGTCTGGCTGGTCGGCGCCGCCGCCGCCTTGGACGCGGACGAGTGGGCCGACTTCCCCGCCTACTGCGCCAAGCACGTTGAGAAGAACGCCATCGCGCCGCTGCCGAGCGCCGACCAGTACGCGCTGAACCAAGTCCAGATCGCAATCCGCCACGGCGCACGGACGCTCGTCCAGCGGTCGACGTGCTGGAGCGGCTACAACGCCACGTGGAACTGCAATGCGCGCAACCACATTGTGCGTACTCGGTGCGAAGGCGGCGAAGGCTCATGCGGTTATGTAGGAGCCGGCGCTCGGCGCGTCGACGCATCGGAGCTTTGACGTACAGTACACGCCCGGCGAGACCGTGCTCCAGGGCACGTGCCAAGTCGGCCAGCTCCTCGACGAAGGCTACCGGCAAGAGACGACCAATGGCCAGTACGTCTCGAAGCATTGCAACGCGAACCCATGGACGCATGTAGGCACTTCTACGACGCGTACATCGCCTCAAGCCGCCTCTTTCCCAAGGACACGCCGGTCGACCTCGCCGATCCCACGAGTATGTTCGTATCTCTCTCGAGCAATGCTTCTATTGCAGTCCATATGCGTAGGCGTCTACCTGAGCAGTACCGATATGCAGCGGACCGTCATGTCGGGGCAGCTCGTCGTCGACGCCATGTTTCCAATGCCAGCGACCACTGCAGCATTGATTCCGTGGCATGTTGGCGACGTGAGTCAGTCGTCGTTCATTCCCAATCCCTTTGCGTGTCCCCGTCTTGGCGATCTCAAGGACGCGTTCGAGGCAAGCGACGGGTACCGCCTCTGGCTCCACATGCACGACGAGCTGGTCGCGACGATGCATGCGACGTTTCCCAACTACGATCCCAAGGGGCTCTTTGACTGCATGCTCACGGCGCGTTGCAGCCTCACGCGCAATGACATGCCGTTAGCCCTCACGCCGTCGCTCTACAAGGACATCATTCGCTTCGAGCGGGACAAGCGCATGAAGATCTACACAGAAGACGACGAGTACGCCAAGCTGAGCATGAGCAAGCTCCTTCGCAGCATCCGTGCCAAGATGCAAGCGTCGTCGCCCAAGTTTGTTCTCTACTCGGGTACGTGGAGTAGCGTTTCGGGTAGAAGAACGCCACTCTGATGACTAGGCCATGACGACACGGTCATGCCGATTCTGGCAGCCATCGGAGGCGCCGACTGGCTTCGCGATTGGCCCCCGTACGCGGCATTTGTCGCGTTCGAGGTCTACACCCAAGTAGCAACGGCCGCGCGCTTCGTGCGCATTGTCTACCAAGGCAAGCCGCTCACGCTTCCTGGCTGCAACGCAGGTATTCCTTTCCCTGCGTTGCTTCCATAGTATTGGATTGATTGCCCGTTGGCCTAGATGCGCTCTGTCCACTGAGTCTTTTCCTCGAGTGGACGGCGTTCGCCGAGACGGCCGACTGCACGCGGTCGACCCCCCCAGGTGCATAGATTGATAGGTCGCTGTATCAAGAATGTGGCGTAGCGCTCGAGACACCCGAGCCCGTGCCCGCAACGGATGCCGGCGTCTCGATCACAGACGAGTCTTCTACCCACGTGAGCGTCGACACGTTCCTCGTCGTCGTCGTCGTCGCCGTGCTCTTGGGCTTTGTCTTTGGCCTGCTCGTCGCCAAGGTCGCGCGCCAGACCGAGGCGAGCGATCGAAAGACCGAGAAGCTGCTTTTGGACGCCGCTGCTGCGGACGACGACGAGACCGGCGGACTTCTTCCCGCAGCCACGTCCGAGCCGAGCAGCCCGACGGTCGCGATGGCCAAGAAGAAATGACGCCGGGTGGGCGACAACGACGTCCACCTCCGTCTCGTGTAACAGTGAACACGACGTGCATCGACACATGCGATGCGCCCATTGAAGATGCACGCACTGGATTACTACCGCAGTAGAGATTACACGTACACTTCGTTGCGGTTCAGGAGGCTCTCGCGCTTCGGGTCGTCGCTCGCATCCTCTGGCTCGGTCGTGAGGAGGTATGCCTGGATCACAAACGGAAAGAAGAGGAGCGCAAAGGCGCCTTGGGCGAAGACAAACGCAGCTCCGACCATGGGCACGCCGCCAGCAAAGCCGTCAAAGATGCGCGCCAGCTGCGTCGTGGCGCAGGCCTCGGGCAGCAGCGAGCTCGCGTGCAGCGTGCACGGGTGCGTCTCGCCCGTCGTCGCGTTCGTAAACGTTTGGTGGCCAAAGGTGGCGTACTGCGGCGCGAGCGTGAGGAGCGAGAAGAGCCCCATGAGCGAGAGGTAGATCATGGCGAGCGTGGCTAAGATGAGCGTCGACGGCGCCGTGTTGCGGCGCTGGAGGCGGTCCATGCGGAAGCAGAGAAACTTAAACCCGTGCCGACTCAGCCACAAGAACGCCGACACGAAAATGTAAAAGAAGAAGCACGCAAAGAGAGCATAGTCGAGCGGAAACACCTTGGAACTCAGTACGAGCACCAGGTCGATCGGGTTCGGAAGTTGCGGCGTCTCGAGTACAAAGCCTAGTTGGAAGTTGAAACCTTGATAACCTTTGGCGGAGAAGCGTCGCACCCGCGTCGTACTGGCCGTGCATGAGCTTGTCGATCGTCGTCAGCAGCAGCGAAAACACGATGAGAAGCGAGATGACCATCAAAAGGGCGCCGATCGGGACGCGCCACACCATGGACGTGCAGCAGACCCACTGCGTACGCTGCTTGGCAAACACACGTCGGCGGTCCAAGAGCACTTGATCGCGCTTCTTGAGCTCTTCGAGGCGGTCGCGGTCCGACGCCGACATGGTGCTGTCCGACGACGTGTACTTGCGCATAACGGTTTGGCGCGACCGCTCCACAGCGTGCGTCTCGAGCTCGATCTCCTCCATGAGGTAGCTCAGTGCGGCGCGGTCGTGGCGGCGCGGTCGCAGGAGGCCGTCAACCGGAATCGAGGCGATCGCGCGGCCCGCGAGCCAAATCCAGAGCACCGAGCCAATGCACAGCACAAGACCGAGGAAGACGCGGAAGACGAGCGTGGCGTCGTCGTCCAAATGCAGCAGTGGCTTGAGCCAGTCGAGGTCGGCGCGAGGCTTCCCGCACAAGACGACGATAAGCACGATCGTGACGAGGATGAGCATGAAGCAGAGGAAGCACGCGGTGCGCTTCAACGCCGCCACAACGCGGCGTGAGGCCGTCGCGCGCGTAATGTGCTGGATCTCGCTCTGCTTGGCGTAGAAGAAGGCAAACGGCGAGAAGAGGAGGGAGAAGTTGAGGAGCATCACAAGGAGCACGTCGTAGACGATGCCCATGGCCTTGGCCTGGTTCAGGTGGCGCGTTGTCGTCACGTAAACGTCAACCGGCGGCGTGAAGATGCAGAGGAGCGCGAAGAAGAGCGAGAGGATGCTCATGATGCGCGAGAGCTTGTCGGGCTGGCTGAAGACGAGCCCTTCGCTCGCGGGCGTCGGGCGCACCTCGAGCTTGGTCACAATAAGATAACTCAGCACGTAGAGGAAGAGCGCGACGCCCGCGTAGAGCGCGTAGATGCCGTAGGTGCCGTACACGTCAGCCATCGTCGCTTCGGATCTTGCCCTCGGCAATCCTGCAACGAAATGTAGCCAATCGCAGGTCGCGACGAGCTTTATTTTGACCAATCCCGACCCACGAGAGCAACGAATCCCTCCAACGACTACACTTGAACTGCCTTGCCCATCTGAGTTGTGTTCTTCCACCCCAGAAGTGGCGGCTCCTACCTTGCACGAGTTTGCACTTGAAGTGTATCAAGTTGATATTGCACAGCCGACTGCTCGAACCAAGCTGGGCGTTCATGCTCAACCGTCAACGGCTGCGTGCACGCGAGGTCGGGACGCCCCCCCACCGGCTGGTCGTTTTGGGTACCCCCTACACCCACAATCTATTTTGTGTTGCGTTTTACATACAAACGCCAAGTACATTCGATCTCAATTGAGGCGGGAGAAAGACGGGTACCGAACGGTCTGGATCGTGGGTCTCTCCCGTGACAAACGCCAGTCCGAGCGCGCACTTGGCAACTTGCGATGAAGCTATGGAAGAAGCTCAGCGGCATGGGTGTCGCCGCCGTCCTCATGGCCGCCAGTAACCTCTGCATCAACGCCTCCAAGGTCGACGGCAAGATGCTCTACGTGGCGCTCACCGTCACGTTCCTCGTCGAAGCGCTCAAGCTCGCCTCGTGCATCGCTGTGCTTGTCGCGTCGCCGCCGACGTCGCGGCTCTGGCTCGGCTGGAAGGAAGCCATGCACTTTGCAGCGCCGGCGCTTTTGTATACGATCGACAACAACCTCGCGTTCGTGATCCTGCGCTTCATTGACCCTGCGACGCTCTCGATCCTCTGGAACCTCAAGATCCTCACGACGGCCGCGCTCTTCCGCTTCGTCTTGGGCCACAAGCTCGGGAAGCTGCAAGTCATCGCACTCATGCTCCTCGTGCTCGGCGTCATTACGAGCCAGAGCAAGCACACCGTGCACCGCGGCGTCCAGCGCGTCGTGAATGGCACGACCTCGATGGCGGCCGTCGAGCTCGACGAGCGCACCAAGTTTATGCTGGGCATTGCACTCGTCGCGCTCGGCTGCACCATCTCGTCCTTTGCGGGCATTCTCTCCGAGTACGCGCTCAAGAAGAACCCGGCGACGCCCTTCTTTGTCCAGAACGGCTACATGTACATCTTTGGCCTCCTCTTCAACTCGATCGGGCTCCTCGCCTCCGCGCAGACGACGATCGCAACCAACGGCTTCTTTGACGGCTACAACAGCTGGACGTGGGCAGTCGTCTTCATCCAGGCGCTCGCCGGCCTCATGATGGGCTTTATCTTCAAGTACCTCGACAACATTGTGTGCGTCTACACGCACGTGGTCGCGATGCTCCTCACGATGCTCGTCTCGATCCTCTTCTTTGCTTTTGAGCTCACGCTCGAGTTTGCTTGCGGCTTTGGCGTCTGCGCGATCTCCATGTACCTCTACCATATGCCCAGCCCTGGCGATGCGCCCGTCCCTTGCCACGGCACGGCCACCGCGTCGAGCGACGAAGAGTACGAAAAGGTGGCCATGGTCAGCGATCACTCGTGCCGCAGCAGCGACGCGACATCGGTCGGGAGCCCCCACCACCGAGACACATTGCGCGACGACGACGACGACGACGAGGTGTAGACTCCTAACTTAATCGATGCCGGTGGTGTGAAGGGTGTGACGTGGCACGTTCTGGCTGGCGAAGGATCGACGGACCAGAGTACTGTAGATGCTGAGTATACGACGTCAGAAGTATCTTGACAGGCGTCAAAAAAGACAATAGAGCTCCGATTGTCGACGTCAATACGCTATCGACAGAATGGTGCACTTAGGTACCTGAGCAAGAGAGCGGCTTCTGCGAATGCACGCGACCTGCTAACTACGGTGGGGAGGACCGAGAGATGGCGGTCGCTGACCGCGGACTCGCAGCGTGTTGGACACACTTGCCTCGTATCTTCGAACCAAACTTCGAAGTTGGCGTTGGCCAATCCGAGTGCGGCGCGGGCCGCCAGCGCTTTGTTGCGCACATTGCCTTTGGCACCCAAGACGCATGGCCGCGCCCATCTCGGAAGACCTCTACGAGCTACTCGAGGTCGAGCGCTCGGCGTCAGAGGCCGAGATCCGGTCGAGCTACCGCAAGCTCGCGCTCAAGTACCACCCAGACCGCAACCACGGCACGCCCGGCGCCGAAGAGCACTTTAAGAAGCTCGCGACCGCCTACGCAGTGCTCTCCGACGCCAAGCAGCGCCGCGTGTACGACGTGTCGAGCAAGGACGGAAATCCAGATGCTGCGCTTGCCGCCTTCCAGGGCCTGCAGCCCATCGACGTCAACGAGATGAACAGCCTTGGGCGCATGCTCGGGTACAAGTCCATGCCCATGACGTCATTTCACGCGTCTTTAGCGCTCTCTGCTCCAAGATGGGCATTCCACTCCCGACGCAAATCAGTGCGAGTGTTCTCGCCGCTGCCCATGGTACGATTGCTCGTCATCCTGAACGAATGGAGGCGGACCTGCTGTGGTAGATGCCGCCAAAGGCATTGGGATCGTCAAGGACCTCGCCATGGGCCTCGAAGCATCAGGCCGCGTCGAGAAGCAAGAAGCACACTTCTTCCGCCTCACGATCGGCGACGTGCCGCCCACGGGCATCGTCATTAGCTGCCGCGCGGCGCCAAAGAGCAAGTTCAAGCTCATTCTCTTCGACTCGGACGGCGGCGTGCGCCACGTGCAAGAGTGCGGGCCACGCTCCAAGTACACGTCGGCCGACATTTTCATGACATCAGTGCGTCATATATATATATGTTCTCGCACATCTAACGCGTCGCGTAGATGGAATTTATGGACATGAACGAGTCCTGGAAGTTCCTCACCGAGCAAGAGAAGGCGCTGCCCGAGGTCTTCTCGAGCTTGACGACGCTCGAGCTCCTGCAGACGCCGCACTTGAGCGCTGGCAGCCATCTCTTTGCTGTCTATGGTGACAATTGGTTATCTGCGCTCAACTACACAGTGCAGGGCACAGTTATCCAAGCTGCGGGCGCCACCAACATCCAGCTCACCGAAGCCGAGATGCTGCATCTGCGCAAGGACATTGATTCTTTCCAGGCCGAGTTCGTCGCGGCCCAAAAAGCATACGAGGCGGTCGTGGCCAAGGCCAACGACTACGATGTGCGCACAAAGGAGCTCCTTCAGGCGCGGCGGTGTGCCTATGAAACCTTCTTCCAAGAGTGTGCCGAGCCGTACAAGTCGATGCAGCCCGCGCGCGAACGCCGCGACTCGGCGCCTTCGGCCTTCCATAACATCTGGTCCCGCTTTACCGAGCCCAAGGAGCCGCCGAAGCGCAACGAATTTTAGCGCGCCACTGTAACTTTCATTTTGCATCACTTTGCTTTGGTAAGGCGATTGCGCGCGCGGCGCTCCGCATCAATCTTCTTCTCGTTCGCGAGATGCGCTTTCATAGCGTCACTGAGCCATTTGCCGTGCTCGGCGTTGCCGTTGCAGATCATGATGAACCTAACGAGTGGTCTCCTGTGAAGTGCTCAACCAGACGAGAGGCAATACCGCGCCGGAGGGTAGCGGAGCAGGGCCGCGCCGGTCATCACTGGCTTGATGTTGGATGCATACGAGGCGAGCGCGCCCTGCTTGATGGACGGAAGCCAAGCTTGGACCTGCGCAGCGTCCCACGTCTTGAAGAGTGGCGCTGCGGACACTTCGCCCTCGATAATCTCTTTCGTCGATCGCTTGACATGCGGCGCCGACTCGACCATTTGCCGAGCATGAATGAGGGACGTCAGTGTGTGTTCCGTGTCTACACGCATTGCAGTGCGTTGGATGGCTTCGATGGACGTAGTACCTGTTGGGATCGGTGACGCGGTCACCACGACAGCAGCCTTGCATTTCTTGGTCGTCGACCACAAGTGGTTCTTCAAGATGCGCGTGAGAGCGCTGTTGCGGTACGGGATGTGGCCTGGCGGATCCTGGGACATGGCCGACAAGCACTGCTTTAGCGCCAAGTGCGCCATGTTGGTCTCGATCGTTTCTTGGTGTCGGGCCTTGTCTGTAAAATACTGATCTTCCTTGCGCTCACTGCATCCACGTGGAAGTGTATCTGAGGAGAAAGGTCATCATCATTTTGTACCTTCCGGCCAAGTCGAGCAACACAAGCTGGCCGTTGGACGCAACACCGTCGCTCGAGACGACTTGGAGGAAGCAAATCAAGTGCGACCGCGACGACACGGCGTTGACTTGCGTGGCTTCGGTTGTTCGGTTGCTCGTGGCACCGTGGAAGAGGTCGAGGAGCTCGGCCGCAGATCGAGCCAACTGGCTTTGCGAGTGCACGAGTTCGATCTCTCCGCTGTCGCCTTCGCAAATCAGCACCTTGTTGCGGTCGTGCAGAAGATCTAGAGCGCGCGTTAGTCGGACGCATTTTCCAGAGTCAAGCGTACCAACGCACTTGGACCCGACAAGCTCGACGGCCTTGAAGGTAATCGCTTGGTTCGGCTCGTTGAAGATGTCTTTGGCCAGGTGCGTGAGGAAGCCGAGCATCGTATGGGTCTTTCCCGAGCCGGTTTGCCCGTACCTACGTCGCTGCGTCATCGCCATTCAGCAGACAGATGCTCCTACATCATGCAGACGGCCTCGCCTCCGGAAAGCGCATGCTCGACCAAGGGCTTTGCCACAGACGAGTACACGACAGGCGTCGGTGTGTGCTCGTCAAAGACCTTGGTGAACGCGTGGGCGTGCGAGTCGATGTACTTGTGCACCATGTCTATGGGGAGAGGTCATTTCATGTGTTAGCGTCGTCCTATGGTACCGTTGTGCATCAAGCAGTCGTGGACGACCATGGTCTGGTCGTCGATGCAAGAGATGGTCGTGTACTCTCCACGCTCAACCTCATGGGGGAGCATCGGGCGGACGCGCGCGTAGACGTCAATGTACTGCGCCGTCTTGGCCCGCTTCGCGTCGGCGATGCGCTCGTCCTGCGCATAGGACTCGCGGAGCTCGCGGATCGCTTCCTGGAAGACAACAGCATGGCGCGTCCGGGCCGTGCTACATGCAGCATCGTCAACCTTCCCTCTAGAGCTCCATGCTCACCGCTTGTCGAGGTTCTTCCGCGTGTCCCCCTTGTCCGTCATGACCAAATTCAAGTATTGCAATCCTGGGCGATGGGAAGAGGCAAGAGTGTTGGTAGGTGGTGGCTTGACTTAACAGCAAAATTGCAGGGATGACAGCCATACCTCAGCCATACCTCACCACGATTCGACTATTGCTTCGGAAGTGGATTGTGCGACCGTTAGCGCCACGAATCAATCAACTCTGGTGTGGGGTGCTGGTACGAGAGCTCGTTCGTGCTACCATTCTCTCGATGCAATACGTAGCCAAACAAATGTATGTCACGTCCATCACGGGCGTTTATGGACCCACGAGTCTGTGGACACAAGGACAAGTCACACGTTGTCATCTAGAGCGCTGTTAGCTGCACGATTAGTCCATAGTCCACGTGGCAGTAAACACGGCGGAGATGTCGCTCCCACACTCTGCAGTATAGATCATCATTCTGTCTAAACTTAACGGCGAATATACAGCACGCAAGCGAATTTGCAGGCTACCTTCGACCTACAAATACCAAATGAAACGTTCGACCAATCCCAACGCGTCGCCGTCGACCTGTCCGGATAATATGCGGACAATGACTGCCAGCACTTTTTATATGGTGGAGCCGTCTCCGGAGAAGAGCGCAGCAGCCAAATACCTTGAAGCCCGCGTTCCCATGAAGAGCTACATCCGCGAAGCCTCCCGCCGGGCAAAGGACCCGTCGCTGGGCCTACCCAAGCTCATCTACTCGGTCAACCTCGACCGTGTGTACGTGCCATGCGAGGCCTCGCGTCGGCTCATGCAGTTCCTGTAGCGGCGAGTACTTGAAGTCCAAGTTTCTGCCCCTCGACTGCGACGACGAGACGCAAGAGTTCCTCAACGTCCGCCTTGGACATGGTTGCGCCACGATGGCCTCACGTAGCTGTGGTGTAGAGCTGCCACGACACGAGCATGTTCCGCACGGTCGCGTCGCGCTTCCTCAACATGTTCTACTCGGTGACCGACACCAATGGCATGCTTGGCCGTACTTACATCCCATTGACTTATATACGCAGATCTGAATCGTCGCACATGGGTAGGTGGCCAGATGTTTGTCTTCTCGCGCTCCCACGCCCAAAGCATGTTTGCGTTCCCAGACAACAAGTGTGGTGGTACGTCCTTCCTGCGCGAGCTGCGCCATCGACACTGGCTTGCAGGAAAGCTGCTTGACATTGGCGCGGGCGACGGCAACGTCACCGAGCGCTTGGCGCCGTTCGTCGACGAGATTCGCACCACCGAGGTCTCGCTGCCCATGGTCAAGGTGCTCAACGCCAAGGGCTTTAAGTGCGTTTCCGTGGGATGTCTCTTGCTCACGCATGCCTAGCTGCACGCACACGACGGACCTCTCGCACCCCGACATTGCGACCAACGGGCCCTACCACATCATCAGGTTTGGCTTGCGGTCGCCTGGATCGACATGACTGACCTCGTTAGCTTGCTCAACGTGCTGGACCGCGCCGACACACCGCTTACGCTTCTGCGTCAGATCCACGATCTTCTCCACCCTGATGTACTCGGACGTTTGGAGGTCGATGTGCTTCACGTCGGTGGATCGTAGGGCGTGCTGTTGATTGCAGTCGTGCTGCCCTTCTCGGCCTTGTACCGACATGATCCTGAACCGCGATTTGGGGTGCTTATGCGTAAACTCTAGCGTCGAGGTCGGGACGCAAAAGTTGCCGCCGAGCGAGCCCTTACCCATGGATGGCGGCCTCTGTAAGGAGCGCGCGTCCTTTGAAGACGCTGCGCGCATCATGGCCGAGCGCGTCTTCTCGCCCAACGGCTTCAAGGTCAAGAGCTTCAGCCGCGTCCCGTACCTCTGTCGCGGCGACATCTCGCAGCCCTACTATGTGCTTTGCGACGCCCTCTTTACGCTCGAGAAGAAGAAGACGAAGAAGAAGACGAGCAACTAGAATGTCAATGTCGTAGGTTGAAGTTGCCTACATGAGGTTCTGGGCGGCCGTTTTTACTACCGTGGCGCCCCGGGGCATTCCGGCCCAAACCTTGGATGCTCGCATAACGTAGAGATCTTGCTTTTTGTATGGTGTGGGACCAGAGACAGCCTGGGGCCCGTACGGGGACCCTGACCGCCGCACGGTTGCTGGCCCATCGCAATCAGATGCACCGCCGTTGCATTCTTTACCCCGTATAGCAAGTCTATGCCAACGTGAGCAGGCTGAACGATGGCCAACGTTAGCATTGCCGACACTAGGGCCAGGCCTTGAAAGCGCGCATCGAATTGGAGGCCCCGGGTATCCGGTCGTGGGGCCGGAACAAGATGTGCATATTTCCATCGAAAGATATCTGATTTTCGATTTTGCAGTCGACCCGGATCACCGCCGCGTAGGATCACCATGGGCTTCCTCCTCTACGTCAACGGGCAGCGCGACGAGGTCGCCAACGTCGCGCCGGAAGAGACGCTGCTCAACTACCTCCGCAACAAGAAGAGGCTCACGGGAACGAAGCTCGGCTGCGGCGAAGGCGGCTGCGGCGCATGCAGCGTCATTGTCTCGCGCATGGACCCAAAGACCAAGGCGGTGACGCACGCAGCTGTGAACGCGTGCTTGACGCCGCTGTGTGCTGTCGAAGGCTGCGCGGTCACGACGGTCGAGGGGCTGCGCGAACCGTCGACGCAGCAGTTGCACCCGGTGCAAACGGCGATCGCCGAGAACCATGGCTCGCAATGCGGCTTCTGCACGCCCGGCATCGTCATGGCCCTAACAGCGATCGTCCAAGACGACCATGTGACGATGGAGACGATCGAGCACAAGATGGACGGCAACCTCTGTCGCTGCACGGGGTACCGCCCGCTCCTCGACGCGGCCAAGTCGTTTGGTAGCGACGCGGCGGCGCATGTGCAATGCGGCTCCGCGGCCTGCGACACGCATTGCATGACGGGCGACATCGAAGACATTCTCTCTGTCGTCTCGTGCAGTGCCAAGAAGATTCAAATCGAGCACAAGAAGCACAAGAACGCCATGCCGAAGCTCGACTTTCCGCAGGAACTCGCGACGTACACCGCGACGCTGGCAGCGCAGAGCACGACGATTGTCGGGAGCCAAGTGCGCTGGCTGCGTCCGTCGTCGCTGGCAGAGCTGCTGCAGTGGAAAGAACAGTACCCACACGCCAAGATCTCGGTCGGCAACACGGAGCTCGGGATTGAAGTCAAGTTCAAGCGCATGGACTACCCTGTGATGCTCTCGGTCAGCCACGTACCCGAACTCCACGTGCTCGAGCCAATCACGGCGCCGTTTGCAGGCGTGCGCCTCGGCGCGGCTGCGTCGCTCACCCGCATCGTCGACTTTTGCAAGACCACGACCGTGCTCCCAACGCAGCAGCGCACGCTCGTCGCCATGCGCTCGATGCTCAAGTGGTTTGCGTCGCTCCAGATCCGCAACGTTGCGTGCTTGGGCGGCAACCTGGCGACTGCGAGCCCGATCGGCGACATGAACCCGCTCCTCTCGAGCCTCGGGGCCGTCCTTGAAGTTGCATCAGCGACTGGACGTCGCTTGATTCCGGTCGCAGACCTCGTCGTCGCCTACCGCAAGGTTGGCCTGCGAGGCGACGAGGTCATGCTCAGCATTCTTGTGCCGTTTACGCGCGAGCATGAGTACGTCTTCCCGTTCAAGCAAGCCAAGCGCCGCGAAGACGACATCAGTATCGTCACCGCCGGGCTTCGCTTTCAGCTAGGCTCCACCGCGATGGGCTGGCGCATTGAGGACTGCAGCCTCTTTTACGGTACGGGATGACTCGTTTGTTAACAGCACTTGACACGACGACGACTAGGGGGCATGGGGCCGACGCCCAAGCGCGCCCTCGAGACTGAGGCGCTTCTTCGCGGGTCGCTCTTCACTAAAGAGAGCGTCGAGGCCGCATGCAAAGTGCTTGGGCGTGAGCTGCAGCTGCCGGTGACCGTGCCTGGTGGCCTCGCCGCGTACCGCACAACGCTGAGCGTCTCGTTCCTCTACAAAGCGTTTCTCCAAGTGGCCAAGGCGCTCGCGACCGACACATCGTCGCCGCCGTCGCCGTGGGTATGTCACACTGACCTACCAACCTCCACACGAGCAATATCTGCGGTAGCTGGCGCTGGACGCACGCGAGTACTCGGGCGCGGCCTCGTACATGAACGAGCCCCGGCCTCTCTCGCGCGGCACGCAGCGCTTTGGCATTGAGAAAGGCGGTCTTCTCTCGTCGAAAATGACGCTCTTGTCGACGCAAGACCGCGCGCCCGTGGGCAACCCGCTCATGCACCGCTCGGCGTACCTCCAAGTGTCGGGCGAGGCCAAGTACGTCGACGACATGGACGACGTGCACAACGTGCTCCACGGCGCGCTCGTGCTCTCGACCATCGCGCACGGCGACATCCAGCGCATCGATCCGTCGGCAGCGCTGGCGATGCATGGCGTCGTCTCGTTCTTGGACGCGTCCGTCTTTGAGACGCTGACGCAGAACGCGCTGGGGCCCGTGGTCCACGACGAAGAGTGCTTTGCCTCGACGCGCGTCGTCTCGATGGGGCAGCCCATCGGCATTGTGCTCGCGACGTCGCACGAAGCCGCGCACGCGGCCGCCGACAAGGTCCGCGTCGAGTACGCGGCGCGTCCGTCCATTGTATCGATTGCCGAGGCGATTGCAGCGAGTGCCTTTCACACCAAAGGCCACACGCTCGTGCGGGGCGACACGCAAGCGGGTTTTGCCCAAAGCGACGTGGTCGTGACCGGCGACATGTACATGGGCGGCCAAGAACACTTTTACTTTGAGACGCAAGCGTGCTACGTCATCCCGATGGAAGACGGCGCCATGCACGTCGTGAGCTCGACCCAAGCGACGACCAAGACGCAAATGTGCGTCGCGGCGTGCCTCGGTGTGCCCGCGCACAAGATCGTCTCGAGCGTCAAGCGCATGGGCGGCGGCTTTGGCGGCAAGGAAACCCGCAGCGTCTTTGTCGCATGCGCGGCGGCCGTCGCGGCCAAGGCGCTCAAGCGACCGGTGCGCCTGCTCTTGGAGCGGCAGGCCGACATGGCCACGACCGGCGGCCGACACCCGTACTACGCCAAGTACACGGTCGGCGCGACGAGGGACGGGCAGCTGCAGGCGTACGACGTCGAGCTCTACAACAATGCGGGCTACTCGCTCGACCTGAGCGAGGCGGTCATGGATCGCGCGCTCTTCCACTGTGAGAATGCCTATTACATTCCCAATGTGACGGCCAAGGGCCTCTGCTGCAAGACCAACCTGCCCACCAACACTGCGTTTCGCGGCTTTGGCGCGCCCCAAGGTCTTTACACCTATCCTATCGGATGATTTGAATGTATGCTGACTAGGCATGATGATGGCCGAGACGATGATGGACCACGTGGCGACCGTGCTGCGCATGGACCCGGTGGAGCTCCGGACGCGCAACTTGTACCAGGAGGGGCACGTGACGCACTATGGACAGCGCCTCGTCGACTACACGCTGCCGGCGCTCTGGACGCGCGGGCTTCGCGAGAGTCAATACGTCGACCGTGCTGCGGCCGTGGCCGCCTTCAACCGTGCGCACGTGTGGAAGAAGCGAGGCATTGCGATCCTCCCGACCAAGTTTGGCATTAGCTTTACCAACAAGTTTATGAACCAAGGCGGGTCGCTCGTGCACGTGTACGCAGACGGCAGCGTCCTCGTCTCCCACGGCGGCACCGAGATGGGCCAAGGCCTCCACACCAAGGTCATGCAGATCGGTACCTCCTCCTCATATCTTCGCTCGAGGCAGCAGCTGAACGAAGCTGCGTAGTGGCCAAGTCGTTTGAGATTCCAATGGACGCCGTCACGATCCACGAGACGTCGACGGACAAGGTGGCCAACTCGCAGCCGTCGGCCGCGTCCATGAGCACCGACCTGTACGGCATGGCGACACTGGACGCGTGCGAGCAGATCAAAGCCCGTCTGGCGCCCGTCGTGGCCAAGCTCGGACCCCACGCTACGTTTGCCGACGTGGTGAAAGTAGCGTACTTTGACCGGATCGACCTCTCGGCCCACGGCTTTTACATTGTGCCAAACGAAAACTGCGGGTACGATTGGACCAAGGCCGTGGACGCGCAGACGAGTACGGCGTTCAACTACTACACGACCGGCGTCGCGTGCACTGAGGTCGAGCTCGACGTGCTCACAGGCGACGTGCACATGGCCCAAGTCGACATTTACATGGACGTCGGCGCGTCCATCAACCCTGCGATCGACATTGGCCAGATCGAAGGCGCCTTCATGCAAGGCTTTGGGCTCTTTTGCATGGAAGAGCACGTGTGGGGCGACGAGAGCCGGCCGTGGCTGCCGCGTGGCGGCCTCTTCACGCGCGGACCTGGCACGTACAAGATCCCGTCCTTCAACGACGTGCCGCTGCAGATGAACGTGTGGCTCGAACCGCACTTGAAGAACAAACTGGCCGTGCACTCGTCGAAAGCGATCGGAGAGCCGCCGCTCTTCCTCGGAGCCACCGCGTTCTTTGCCATCAAGGCGGCGATCGCGGCGGCGCGTGCCGAGCATGCGACGGACGACGGCCACTGGACGCTCCACGCCCCCGTCACGTCGGCACGCGCGCGCATGGCCGTCCAAGATCGGTTCTGCTCCGACACCCCCGTGCCCCTCGGTTGCTTCTAAATCATGGCAGACAAGTGCATTGACAATAACTCGAGAGAGCACCATCAAAACATCCACGTTCTGTCCTCGGCTACATACGACGACCCCTACCCCCAACGAGAGCCCCAATCGATGCGGCGAACCTCCACGAGGCAAGACAGGCCGGTCCTCGGAGACGTAGGCGGAGATAACGAGCATCACACGATGTAGCGGGCGTGTTGCTGGATTGTCAGCTTTGCGGGAACCGGTTGTACTTACGAGCTGCACACCAAGTGGCGTACTAGTAACCGCGTTACCGGTTACGCCAAGTCGCACCGCCCATCAGCAATCTCGACGACATGTGGCTTGGTGCGTGCGCGTAGAGAGGTAAGAGCTGTGCACAATAGTCATAAATCCCACCACAACACGCCACGGGGTAGGTCCATGGGAGAATCCGATACATTGATACATTGATACAGCCTGCGACTAACGCGATAAATAAGCACGGGAATGCTTAGGCGAACTTTTCCGAGTGGTACTCGAACGACGTGCCGTCTTTGGTCGAGTACTTGCGGCACATGGCCGTCAAAATCGCGTCCAGCGCGTGTGGCCCGCAGAAGAAGACGCCGATGCGCTCGCCACGATGCGTCCGCGCCATGGAGCGGAACCAATGGTCCCAATCGGGGCGGCCAAAGTGCGTGAGCTGCTTGAGCCCCGAGACAACGTCGTTGCCGGTCGTGTCGTGCACGAACGCCTGGAAGAGCTTGAGGGTCTCGTTGGCCGCGACGGACGTCAAGTGGTGGTGCGTCTCGATGACGCCGTCGCGGTCCAGCGCGTGGATCTCGTTCATCGTGTGGCTGAACCACGTCAGCGCCTCCTGCTGCCGCGTGACCCAGTGAAAGTACATCTTGCGCAGCTTCATGTTGGGCGGCGCGCGGCAAAAGGCGCAGTTGGGGCACCGAGACGCGTTCCACTTGTGCACCGTGTCTTTGAGAATCGACGCGAACGGCGTGACGCCGATGCCACCCCCGATCATGACGACGGTCGCGTACCGGTGGTACGCCTGCGTCGGCGCACCCACGGGGCCGTCGAGATACACGGTCGGGAAGGGAAGGCCCTCGGTGTCGCAGTGGCTCAAGAGGGCGTGGAGCGCGCTCGTCCAGTCGCCGGCGTTGCGGATGTGGAGACTCACGTGGTCGTCGTTGGGCGCGGACGAGATGGTAAACGGGTGCCACTCGTGCTGCGAGAGCTTCGGGACGTTCAGGAACGTGTACATGCCCGGGTCGTACTCGAAGCGCGCGGGCTTCTCGAGGAAGAGCGCGACGACGCCGTCGAGGAACTCGACGCGAAGAATCTGGAGCGGCGTCGTCCAGCTCTTGGCAAAGCGGAAGCGGCGTTCGATGAGGTAGACGCTGAGCGGCGGGAGGATCCAGAGGTACGACTGCGCCTTCGAGAGCCATGACGTGGCGCCGTGGATGCTTCCGAGCAGCAAGAAGGGACCGAGGAGCATGTGGCTGAACCAAAAGAGGTTGAAGCGGCCTTGCCGAAAGCGCGGGAGCAGCGACAGCGGCAGTACAATGAGCGCAATGAGGAGCATGAAGACGCCGGTCACGACGGGAAGCGTGCACAGCATGTGCGAGAAAGGCATCATGATCGGCGCGCCCTCGGGTGTCCGCAGCGTCGAGACGTGTGCGACAAGGAACGAGTCGGCGATCTCGTCGGGCGTCGCGAGCAGATAGACCGCGACTTCGTTGTAGACGTGCGCGCCCGTGTGCACGAGGCCAGCAAGCAGCGCGACCGTGCCCGCGATGCGGTGAAACGCGAGGAGGTCGTCGAACGGGACGTAGCGCCAGAGGAGCTTGCTCTGCTTGAGCACCTCGAGGATCGAGCGGCACATGGGCAGGAGGGCGAGGAGGAAGTTCGGCATCGCGACCTGCGCAGCACCGCGCGCGATCCGCAGCGCCCAGCCGGTGGCCGAGTCGACGGGGTATTGCGCCATCTTCTGGATCGCCTCGGCCGCGATGAAGACCACGTAGGCTGTGAGCCACCAAATGCGCAGCGTGTGGTTGCGGTAAAACGTCTTGGCCCGCGATAGGAAGCCGTGGCGGGACGGCTCGGCTGCAGGTTTGACGCCACGCGACCGCGACGTCTCGACCGTCGTCGTGGCTTCGTGCAGGTAGCCGCGGAAGACGAGGTGGAACTGGACAAAGCTCATGTGGCTCGCGCTGCGCGCGCCGGCTTTGGCAAAGAGCATGTCGGCCATCGCATCGAAATCGGACCCGACACCTACGCAATCCATTCTTAGTCGAAACCCAACGCGAGTATAGTCGACTGTACATTGGAGCTTCTCGGCCTGGAACTTGGATTGAAGCAAATCGGCAATGTTGCTGCGGTCGATGCGCCCGGTGCCACCCACGTCCATCGTGTCGAAGAGAAGGCGCAGCTTCGTGTCGTCCTCAACGGGGAGCTCCATGGCAGCGTTGAAGAGCACGGAGCAGCCGCGGATCGACTGCACGGCTGGCGGCAGCTCGACCTCGAACGTACTCACAAAGGTGGCGCGGTTGATGCGCCCGTTGGCGTCGGCGACCGAGGCCACGACGCGCTTCAGCGCCTGAAAATGCTCGATCGGGTCGTCGTCACGTTCGACTGCAATCTGCTGCAACCCTGCTTCGATCGCCACATGCGCTTTTTCTGGATCTTCCTCTTCGTCGCTGTCGCCAGCGTCCCCAGGCTGCATCATGACGACCTCGGACGTGGTCGACACGAAGCTCGCATTCTTGCTGAACGAGCTATTGGACGCGAAACTGCGTGTCTTGGAGCTGGAGTTGGACATGAAGCTCGTGTTGTTCATCGAGGCGCGGGACCGCGTCCGCAGAAATGTGTGGCGGTTCTCGACCACCGCGGACGCCCGAAGGAGCTGCGACGCAAAGTCGCTGCTGGGCGTCCGCCGCAGCGCCGGTGTCGGGAACGCCGGGCGTGTGTACGGGTGCGTTGGCGTCTCGCCGCCGTACTTGGAGGTCATTGTCGGAGTGGGGTGCTCTGCAGAACTCCAATATGGTGCGGGTGCTGGCTCTTCGCCTTTACCCTCACGCTGCCACGTTGATAGTGGACCACCCGGTGTGGACACCTTTGCATCCTATTCGTCGAGCCAGCGCGCCCTGCACCAATCCGTGGCGTTTTTGTTGAAAGCACGCATGCGGATTGGCTATTTCCAAGCCGGCTTTCTACTCGGTGGTGCTGCTGCGAGGTGCGCGATGCGCTCGAAGGCCACCGGCCCTCGTGACCGTAAGCGCGTGTATGTCTACAGCGCTGCGACAGAGACATAGACGGACGCGGTCGTTCTTGTATGGGGACTGCGATGCGAAAAGTACCACAAAAAACATGCTATCGAAGCCCGGATCCGGACCGCACAGCTGCACTCGGTACGGTAATCATCCTCGTTGCTGCTCAGTCCGACAAGATGTACACAATTCATCCTTGGAGCTGATGCTGGCGACGCACGATGGTGCAAAGCGCCTTGCCGCAGGTTCGTAGCTCGTATTTAGTTAGTCGGTCGCAACGACTAAATACATTAAATGCGAATCGTCGATACAAACATGAGGGCAATACAAAAGTTTGTGCAAATCAATTGCAACGAATGCCGCGGCGGCAATGAGGCAAGTCGGCGTTTCATTGGTCGAAGTGTCGATGCTGTATTTTTAACATCTCACATAGAAATGCCAATATACTTTAATACAAACGCACAATGGACGATGGTGAGGGGCAATGTGAGCAGCATTCAAGTGACTGTGACGAACGGACGATGGAAGCCGTGGTCGAGGAAGCCGAGCTCTTGTACCGCCGCCAGCAGGGCCGCCCGACGTACGTCACGACCGAGCACCGCGGGCAGCCCGACCGCTTTCCTCCGTTCCAGCTGCATGTTCCGCAGTCCTTCCTTCCATGGAACCCGCAGCGGCGGGACGTCGTCGCGTTCCCGAGCGGCAATTCCGTGCTCTCGACCTGCCGCTGTGGCGTCGTCATGGGCGGCGTCTACTACACGCGACCTGCTGTGCATGAAGCCGACCAAACGGACGGCGCCAGCCAGCGATACATGGTCGCGGTCAAGATGATGGATCGACACCAACTGCTGCTCCAGCGGGACGACGTCGAGAACGAAATCCGCGTCATGCGCGAGCTGCAGCCCGGTGGCTTTACGGGCGTGCTGCACAACCCGCATTTGCTGCAGTGGGAGTGCTCGAACGACGAAGCGAACGAGTACATTGCGACCGACTATGTCTCGAACGGCAGCCTCCTCTCGTACACGCGCGTGCGCATGCAAGAGCTTCGCCACCAAGCCGACCTCCAAGGCATCAAGAGGAGCTCAAGGATCGCATGGTGGCCGAGGTGTGGGTCCAAGAAGCGCTTCGCCTCTTCCTCGGCATCGTCCGAGGGCTCACGTACATCCATGCGCACGACGTCGCGCACTTGGACTTGGACCCGTGCAACGTCGTGATCGACAGCACGCTCACGCCTCGCATCCTCGACTTTGGCAGCGCCATCTGCCTCCTCAACGACAACGCCAACGGTCGTGCCGGCGGTGGCACCATGCTCATCAAATGCAAACCTTTGTATGCCCCGCCTGAGGTTCGCCGCCACAACCAATCCCCACCACCACGCGAGCCCTTTGACGGCGCGGCCGCCGACATGTGGTCTGCCGGCACGCTCGTACGTCGCTTCCTCCATAGCTATCGCTGACATGGTCCTGATTGTAGCTCTATCAACTGCTCTGCTTCGGGTACCCTATGGGCGAGTACGCGTTGCTCATGGACGCCAACTGGCGGCACAACCTGCTCTGCCACGCGTACGACCGCGAGTGTCTCCGGACCGAGTGCTACATTTGCGTGCGCGAGGTGCAATTCCCGCCCATCGTGTACGACATCTTCCGCAGCCTCCTCAACGCCGAGCAGCCCGAGCTCCGCATGTCGGCGCTCGCAGTCGCCAACGCCCTCACGCGCGCGCTCGCGTCAAACTAACTTATTGATGAACATCTTGCCGTCGCCACAACAAAATTTCGCCGACCCATCCCCTTCCTGTCGCAAAGATGTGACGCAGTAGGCACACAGGGACACACGTCACCTTGAAGCGCTTCGTGGCCACAGATTGAAGATCGCAACGCAAGTGCGCGAGGGCGATGGGCCACTTCTCTGCCCGCAGATGCTCCTCGGCGTCCACTTCAACGTGGCAAGATCGGACCCGGCTCGCCGTAGTCACGGCAACGGTCATGCGGTGGCGCATGGCATGGCCACGCAGTACGCGTGGTCCCTAGTCCCACGCTCGAGACGCGGGCATGACGGGGTGGTCCTGGCGCTGCGTTTGACGAATCATGTCAAGCAAACTTGAAGCCTGGTCTCGCATCCTCCTCCGCCCGCGCTTGCTACTTTATAGAAATCTTTGGACGCGGCTGCGGTTGCACATACAAAGCGCAAGGTAGTTTATTGGATTACAATCGAAAGCGCACCCACTAGGCTGGAATTCCCATAAGTAGTACACGAGCGACCGCTTGCATTTCCGAAAAGAAGACGCTCGCGACATGTACTCGATCGACGCGGCCCAAGACGACGTGCTCCTCCCGCTGCGAAGGAGGCGCGAGAGCGACGACGAAGACGACGATGAGCTGCATGGCAGCCCGCGCCTGCCGCTCTGCTCGCCACTCGCCAAGCTCATGGTCGAGTGGGACGACCTCGAGAGCGTGATCCTCAACATGCGCACGCCGGCGCAGAGCATCGGCGAGCTTCTAACGTCGCTCGAGAGCATCGACTTCTCCGTCATGCTGGAAGACGACCCGGAAGTCTTCTCGACCTTTGTCAAGCAGACCGAAGCCGAGACGCTGGACGAGCCCGAGCCCGATAACGACGAGCCGACCAGCCCAGAGACCGACGACCAGACGATCACCGAGGCCTTTACGCTCCAAGACATCATCGACGCCTGGGGCGACGAGTACATCTTTTTCATTCTGCTGCAGATCCCCCAGCGCGAGCAAGTCCGCCTCCAGACGGTCTTTTGGAACTTCTTCCACGCGACGATGCCCAACATGGACATGGCCAAGCTCTCCGAGCGCCGCGTGTACCAACTCTACCGCTTCGCCGCCAAGACGCTCGCCACGTGCATCTAATCTTGCCTCTCTGTCCGTAGTCTATCTACTCGCTCGTAATCCTAATTCATCGTCGTTCGTTCCGTGATACATGCATTTCCTTAAAGAAGGCTAGGTAAAGCACGGAAAACGACCAAGGTGCGGGAGACGATCGAGCGCACGCAGCGCGTCGAGGTACACGGCATTGACGTCGCGCCAATTGGGCTGTAAGAGGCCCTCGGTCCAGTACCCGGCCGTGTCGGAGGGGTTGAAGCCGTACCCGCTCTCGGGGTTGAGCGCCCACATGTACCCGCCGCTGTAGCCCGGCTCCATCATGATCTGCATGCACATGTCGACAACGCGCTGCGATGTCTTGCGCGGGTGCGCGTCGAGGGCAAAGAGGTCGCCAAACTCGCCAAAGACGATCGCGTGGCCTTGCGCGCGCAAGTACCCAAACATGTCTTGGACGGTCGCAGCCACGATGTGGCGCAGCGCCGCGTCGTCCCACTCGGTGTAGTTGCGCAGAACCGTCTCGCCTGACGTCCGCGGCGCCGCGCTCGCGACCAGAAACGACTGCGGGTACACGGACGGGTTGTAGTAGTGCGGCGCGTACACGAGCTTGGAGGGTAGCGTCGATATGGGGTAGGTGCCCGCCGCCTGGAGACCGCCGCCCCACCAGTCGTAGTAGTCGAAGCGGGTGCCGTTGATTTGAATCGAATGCGTCTCGGCGTTGCCCTCGATGAACGCGAGCCAGCTGGGACAGACGGCGAGCATGCGCTGCGCGAGGAGCGTCGCGCCGCGGCGAAAGTCCTTGGGGCCGTCGTCGCCCCACGTGGTTTGCCACGGCTCGTTCTTGAGGTCGACGCCGAGGACGTTCCAGTACGCGTCGTCGCAGAGGTTGGTCGTGAGGACGTCCATGGCTTGGAGGGTCGAGTTCTCAGGCGTCGTGTCGCTGAACCACGCGTCGCCTTTCTCGGTCACACTGAGGTAGTGGATGTCGAGGAGCACCGAGATGCCGACGGCGCCGCACGATACTCTGGACCGCGCTCACGTAGCTCGTGAGGTTCAACCCCGGGCTCTCGTACTCGTTGACGACGTTGGCGTTGGGCGGCGTGTTCTTGACGAGCGCGTCGACGGTGAGCGGGAGGCGGATGCTGTTAAAGTTGTGCCGGGAGAGGAAGGCGACCACCTCAAACTAGGACAAGTGTCAGTGAGACAACACACATCTGGACGATTGGGACAACCCATGCTCCAACCAATGCAAGCCAGGACACGACCTTATTGGTCGTGGACGGCTGGAGAAGCCGTTAGGGAAAGGGGCGACTAGCTGGAAGATATATCTATCTTCATCTAGGTATTACATACTGAGGACATTAGTCCTGTAGCGACGCTTTGGCATTTCTTCTATCGACGCCTCTTCGAGTGCTCACGCTGAAGCTCGCCTAAACTAGCTCACTTCATCTTTTGCTCTGCGGAGTAACTCAATACAACTGCCTGCTTTCCGGGAGACGGCTCTCCCCTCGCTGCTTTGTTTGAGTTCCACCGCGGGGGTCACCACAAAGTTAACTTTAGTCTCGAAGACTACAGTAAAAGATGACCAAGGCGGGCTCGGGACCGAAGACCAATTTGCCGGCAACAACGATCTCGGTCACCTCGCTCGACCACCCGATTATCAAGTCTTTTGGTCAAGCGGCTCTCGTCCGCTGGAAGAAGGACTATGATGCGTACCGCAAGGTGCTCGTGGCCAAGTGCAAGTCCAAGGGGCAGCGGATCGCCGACCACATCGTGTCGTGGAAGGACTGCTGCGACGTGGACCTGCTCAAGACGGCTTGCGAGTACGACTGGGACGTGGACCCCGCAACGATCACGGAGAAGGAGCTTCGTGAACGCCTCACGGCGATCATGGAGAAGACCTCATCCACCATCATTGAGTCGGGGGAAGCGCTCAGCAAGTGTTTCAGGACGCTACAAATGCCGAAGATGACGGATGATGCCGCGTCGGTCAGACGTGACTACATGTGTCAAATCGGCAAGATCATCGACGAACGGGCCCTCGCCGAAGTGATGACGGTGAAGGCTACTCGTCGTATTGTGATCAAGGCCATCACGGAGAAGCTCGAGCCGGCATGGGTGCGGAACGCGGTTTCGAGTCACCTCGAAGTCAACCCAGCCGACTCGCTCAAGGCTTTTGCCAACGTGCTCTTGTCCAAGATTGAGGCCTATCAAGACTACAAGACGGGACAAGAGATCGATGAGATCGGGACCGGGAAGCGAAAGCTGCCCGAGGCTCAATCAGGCGAAGGAGGCGGACTGCCGACCAAGCAGTCCAAACCCAACCCAGAGACAGCCAACGACGCGATCAAGCCGAGTTCTCCAGGCAAAAGCGACGCTGAAGACCTGACCAAGAAGGCCGTGCCGCCTGACGGCGCCAACGAGAAGTAGCGCCTTACAGCGGCGGTGGCTGGTACTGGTCGGGAAGAATATCATCGCCAACAAGATTGACATTACCCTCACGGATACCGAGAAGGCGGCTTTTGGCGCGGTAAAACGCGCGCTGCTTGACATGGTTTCTGCGGGCGCATCCGAAGGCGGAGGCTATGCTCTCCCTGGTCTGCGATGCGTCTGCCACGGGGTGGTCCATCAGTATCGTGCAATTTGTCGACTACGACGAGGACAAGCCGGTCCAGGATCAGCTCCACGAGCTACTGGTCTGTCTCTCGCTGGACTACTTTTTCTACAACCTCACGGGTGCCGTCTTTTTTGCGACCACAAGCACTTGATCCTCATCTTTTGCGCCAGACCAAGAATGGAAGGCGCATACTGGGGGCAAGATGGTTTGTTTGCGCCGGCATCATCGGCTCTTTCCGCTATGTGATCGACCACATCGATGGCGTTCATCATTTGGGGGCAGACAAGATGAGCCGGTGGGGACAGCAGCGTTTAGACGACGTGCGACATCGAAAGGTGTTGGCGCGCCGCGGCGCTGTCATCTCCCGCTCCGCAAAACGACGACGGACAACCGAACCAAATCAGATGAGCCGGTGGGGTTAGCAGCGTTTGGACGCCGCGCGACATCGAAAGGTGTTGGCGCGTCGCGGCGCTGTCATCTACCGCCCGTGCATCATCCAACGACTCTACTCTCCACTTTGGAACGCGCAACATCGCCATCACGGACTCCACTTTGATTTCCTCTTTTTGGGACAAGGCGGCCAACGGCGTCAACTATGGGTTGTTGCTGAAGGATGTCCTCACTAGCGAAGCTTGTGCGACGGCTATTATGGACTGGGCCAAGCGCTTTGGGATGCCATGAAATGGATCTCCGATCAAGGCTCGCATGTCAAAAACGAGCTCATGGCGATTCTGGCGACCAAGTGCACAGCCCGACACGACTTTGTAGTGGCCTACTGCCCGTGGCGCAACGGCACGATCGAGCGACTCAACCGAGATCTCCTCCAAGTGCTACGCGTCCTCCCCCGCGAGTATCGCCTCGCGTTGGATCAGTGGGACTATCTACTACTCGTTGTCCAAGCCAACCTCAACCGTACGGCGCTTCCGTCACTCGGCAACATGTCGCCGACCGAAGTCTTCACGCTCCTGGAGCCGACAACGCCACTCGACGTGATACTCGGTCCCGACCGTAGACCGAACCAGAAGTGCGTACTCGGTCGAGACCGAACACTTGCTGACAAAAGGACCGTCGAAAGGCGCACTCCTCTCGCAGCAAGTACCACTCGGACTCCGACCTCAACGTCACTGAAGAGATCTTGGACTACGTCTCTGAACAAGGCGTGCTCCTCAAGGTAGCGGCCATTACTGGCCAATCGCCACAACAGAGCCGCCAAGACCTCTGAACTCCTCGTACAATGGGAAGGCCCGAGGCAATTGAAGCTTCGAGGACACCGCTCTCAAGTATGCTGGAACAGTGCCCGGACCTCGTGTTGCAGTATGTTGAATCCCTGGTCGACGGGCCAGCTCGACGAACACTGGCACGTTTGGTAAATGCTTTATGTATTTGCAATCTTTCATGTTACATATTTTATACTCTTACATATTTTACATGTATAAACCCAGCTTACAATGTCTTGGAGACATGGCTTGGGGGGTGTGTTGTGTCTGGACGATTGGGACAACCCATGCTCCAACCAATGCAAGCCAGGACACGACCTTATTGGTCGTGGACGGCTGGAGAAGCCGTTAGGGAAAGGGGCGACTAGCTGGAAGATATATCTATCTTCATCTAGGTATTACATACTGAGGACATTAGTCCTGTAGCGACGCTTTGGCATTTCTTCTATCGACGCCTCTTCGAGTGCTCACGCTGAAGCTCGCCTAAACTAGCTCACTTCATCTTTTGCTCTGCGGAGTAACTCAATACAACTGCCTGCTTTCCGGGAGACGGCTCTCCCCTCGCTGCTTTGTTTGAGTTCCACCGCGGGGGTCACCACAGACAGCACACATATATGCCATGGACGTACGAGGGACGTGCCGTTGTCCGGGTTGGCCCAGAGACCAAACGGGATGTGGAGCTCGGTTTCCATGCCAAACCTTATGTGGCCTTGTAGATATGAAGACATATACAGGATCAGCATACCAGTTGATGCCTTTGATGGCGACGGGCACCTTGGTGCCGTTGGCCGCCTGCGCAAAGAGTCCGCCGTTCTCGCTGAGATAGTTGGGTAGCTTGCAGCCTACATATACATGCGTGATGTAGCATCGACTGCAAGAGACTCGAGTACCGAGGGACGGGAACGAGGCCATGTTGGTGACTTGGCCGGCCGTGCCCGGCGTGCCGTCGTTGATTTTGCCGTACAAGACGGGCGTCGGCGCTGGGGTTGGCGCCAGAGTTGGACTTGGTGGCGGTGTCGCTGGCGAATCTGTCAGCGAGCGCAGAGGGTTCACTTGTGTGGGTGCTTGTGTCGTGACGGATGGTGTCGGTGTGGTTGGTGCGGTTGTCACGTACGGCGTGGGGCTAACCTCTGACGCTGATTCTTGCTGCTTGGCGGTGGCTGCTGTCCCGCCTTGTCCAAGCACAAGGCCCAGAATGAGTCCAACGATGCCAATGACCACGACACCCAGTACGAGCTTGGCTCGTCGTGTCTACGCTCCTGGGATTCGCAGTGCGTCATGGCTGCACGTGAGTACCTTGAGGCAGCTTGGCATCGAGGAGACGGTATCAGCGTCTTCATCGGGCGACTCGTAGCCCTCAAAGTTCGCTCGCGGTGCCATCCCTCGGTGACGCTTGCAAAGATCTGCCCTTCTCGCGAAACGCCTGCCACAAGCCACTGTATCAGACGCTGTTTTCAATGATGTATGAGACGCTGTTTAAAACAGAGTTTTTGCGTATCCTTCGATGGAACAAGATTCAACAGTGTGGAAGAACGAGTCATTTTGGAAAGCATGGCGACGAGCCCACGCGCGACGAGTCCCCGCGGCCACCAGGGCGAAGAAGAGGACGACGACATGTACGCGGGCCGGCGCCCATCGAGCCCAGCATCCTACAAGCGCTACGAGTCGGGCGCAATCGACGATGACGATGTTGCGCCGGGGCATCCGGACGACGCCAACCCGATCCAAGGCGAACTTCAGCAAATGCCAGGTCCCCGCCCGCGGAAGAAGACAGCAACAGAAGAGGGCCGTCCTAGCTGCGGCATGGTACAGCACGCCATCATTAGCTCTTGCCCACATTCCGTATCGTAGATGTGGCGTCGACGCTGCATCTTCCTCGTTCTCTTCGCCGGCTGCGCAGCGGTCGTCGCGTACTTTGTCATCAAGCTCGTCGCTCAAAAGTCGAGCGACTCGAGCGCGGGCAATGGCGCGACGACGGTGCCAGTCGCACCGACCGGAGCCATTCAAGACGGCGTTGGCGCATCGGTGGATCCCGCCGTAGGGAGCAACCCGACCAAGTACCCTTCGCCCAGTACTACATCTGATCTCTGTAAGACGTCCTTTCACAATCAACAAAACCGCGTAGAGTGCAAGCAGCCCAACTACGTGAGCTCCAACGGCAAGATCTACATTGTCGGCACGGACGGCACGAACCGGCCCGTGAGCATCAAAGGCATCAATTGGTATCAACTTGATACGGCGCGAACGGTTGATACGTATGTCTGGTAGGTCGGGCATGGAGACGGGCAACGCGATTCCGTACGGGCTCTGGGCCAACGGACAGAATGGCACAACCGTGGTACGCTGCGCAGTGCTTTTGCACTCGATACAATGTGTGGTTCTTAGTACGAAGTGGCGTCGTTCTTGGCGCGCAACAACTTTAACAGCGTGCGCCTCCCGCTCTCGATCGAGAGCATTTTGCAGAACCGTGTGCCGAACAAGGAGCTCCTCAACGTCTTCAGCAACAAGGCCATTGACCCGTCGACGTATCTCTCGCTGCTCTCGTCGCTGGTCAAAGCGTTCGCCTACCGCGGCATCAGCGTACTCCTTGATTTGCACGTGCTCACAGTCTCGGACATCGGGCCCAAGTGGACCAGCGACCAGATCAGCCAAGCGTCGTACCTCTCGGCCGTCGACACGCTCACCAAGACGCTCTGCAACGACGCGCACTGGAACGTTCTTGGCATCGACCTCAAGAACGAACCGTCTCAAATGACGTGGGGTGACAAGACGTCGGCCGACTGGCGGGTGGCCGCGACACTCATTGGCAACCAAATGCTCCAGGGCTGTCCCAACTGGCTCGCCTTCGTCGAGGGCGTCAACGACCTCCATACGATGACGCTGCCCACGGGCGTCTACACGTCGTACTATGATTGGTGGGGCGCTGGTCTTCAGAACGCCGGCGATTACCCGATTACGCTCACGACCGACAACAAGATTGTATATGCCCCCCACTACTACTCGCCGGTACAACGAGGCATATCCGATTCACAACCCTGATATCGGCCTGTCTAGTCGGTCTACCCACAAATGTACTTGCTCAAGGACGGAACTCAAGTCGGCGATCTCATTGGATACTACACAGAGCTCGACAATGCGACGCTCAAGTCAGTCGTCCTCGCGACAGCCAACAACATGTTTGGCTACCTCACGACGGGGCCACAGAAAGCTACGATCGTGCTTGGCGAGTTTGGCGGGCTCTACACGCAAGACCGGCATGCGAACTACACGGTGCGCCGCGTGATTGAGAGCTGCATGGACATGGTCAAGCAACCGGGGTTCGCGGGTGGGTACGTCTGGTCGCTCAACCCCGAGTCCGCGTACAACTATAACCCGTCCGACCACAAAGGCGTGTGGCAAGAAGGCCTCGTGGCCCTGGACTGGGTCACCGTCAACAAGCCGTATCTCAACGCACTCAAGCAAATGGACTCGATGGCCGACTTGATCAAGTTTCCATGCATTTCATAGGCTGCCTGTAAAAATATCGAATGAATTGCATCCAATCACCTCGGCTTCGATATTTTCGACGCAGAATCTACACTCTGTTTCGCATCTGCCGCCGGTTTGAATGTTCCATGTCTCGATTGTAGGACCTTCTATGCTTCGATAAGGATTTGATATGAGAAACCATTCTCGCATCGTACACGACCTAGTCGCATGCGATCGAACGACAATCATGAGACAAGGGGCTCCTTCAGTGCTGCCTACGAAAGGTTCGAATCGGGCATGATCCCCGACGACGAAGAGACAAAGGAAGCCGACGCGCCGTTCACGCGCAAGGACCACCACGAAGTAGGCCTCCACGAAGTTATCGCGCCAGCGCCAACGGCCCAAGGATGCCTCAAGGTACCATCCGCCCTCTGGACATGCAAGTGTAGCTCATTACAAGCGCTAGACGCGACGAGGCAAAGCGATCCTCGCCGTGTCCGTGCTAGGAATCATTGGCATCATTGTCGGGCTCGTCGTCGCCAGCGGTGGCTCGGACGGCAAGGGCGCGTCACAATCAACGTCGGACAAGAATATAGTTGCACCTGCTTCTTCGAGCGCACCGCCGTGGACGTCCCCACCAACTGCAGACACCACGACACTTACTCCTGTGATGACAAGCGCACCGACACCAACGCCTCGACCGCCTGCGGTTGTTCAGCTTTATACGCCCACGCCCACCCCACCCGTCGCCTCGACACCGCCACCAAGTCCAACTCTGGCGCCAACCCCAGCGCCGACGCCCGTCTTGTACGGCAAGATCAACGACGGCACGCCGGGCACGGCCGGCCAAGTCACCAACATGGCCTCGTTCCCGTCCCTCGGTACTCGAGTCTCTTGCATTCGACGCGACATCACGCATATATATGTAGGCTGCAAGCTACCCAACTACCTCAGCGAGAACGGCGGCCTCTTTGCGCAGGCGGCCAACGGCACCAAAGTGCCCGTCGCCATCAAAGGCATCAACTGGTATGCTGACTCTGAATATCTTCATATCTACAAGGCCACTGGTATGCTGATCCTGTATATACCTTCATATCTACAAGGCCACATTAGGTTTGGCATGGAAACCGAGCTCCACATCCCGTTCGGTCTCTGGGCCAACCCGGACAACGGCACGTCCCTCGTACGTCCATGGCATATATGTGTGCGTGCTGTCTCACTGAAACTCTCCTAGTTTGAGGTTGTCGCCTTCCTCTCCCGGCACAACTTTAACAGCATCCGCCTCCCGCTCACCGTCGACGCGCTCGTCAAGAACACGCCGCCCAACGCCAACGTCGTCAACGAGTACGAGAGCCCGGGGCTGAACCTCACGAGCTACGTGAGCGCGGTCCAGAGCATCGTGCGCGCGTGCGGCGCCGTCGGCATCTCGGTGCTCCTCGACATCCACTACCTCAGTGTGACCGAGAAGGGCGACGCGTGGTTCAGCGACACGACGCCCGAGACCTCGACACTCGAAGCCATGGACGTCCTCACGACCAACCTCTGTGGCGACGCGTACTGGAACGTCCTCGGCGTCGACCTCAAGAACGAGCCGTGGCAAACCACGTGGGGCGACGATGGCCCCAAGGACTTTCGCCGCGGCGCGACGCTCCTCGCGCAGCGCATGCTCGCCGTCTGTCCCAACTGGCTCGCGTTCGTCGAGGGCAACGCCGAGACGCACGCGATTCAAATCAACGGCACCCGCTTCGACTACTACGACTGGTGGGGCGGCGGTCTCCAGGCGGCGGGCACCTACCCCATATCGACGCTACCCTCCAAGCTCGTGTACGCGCCGCACTACTACAACCCGTCCGTGTACCCGCAGTCGTTTCTGGTCGCGAGCGCGGCGCCGCGGACGTCAGGCGAGACGGTTCTGCGCAACTACACCGAGTGGGACGACGCGGCGCTGCGCCACATCGTGGCTGCGACCGTCCAAGACATGTTTGGGTACTTGCGCGCGCAAGGCCACGCGATCGTCTTTGGCGAGTTTGGCGACCTCTTTGCCCTCGACGCGCACCCGCGCAAGACATCGCAGCGCGTTGTCGACATGTGCATGCAGATCATGATGGAGCCGGGCTACAGCGGCGGGTACATGTGGGCGCTCAACCCCGAGAGCGGGTACGGCTTCAACCCCTCCGACACGGCCGGGTACTGGACCGAGGGCCTTTTGCAGCCCAATTGGCGCGACGTCAACACCGTGTACCTCGACGCGCTGCGTGCGCTCGATCGTCTCCCGCACCTGGGTCGCTTTCCGTGCTTTACCTAGTTGAATTTTAGATTGCTATCTTTGCCAAACAGAGTATGAAACAGTGTTTGGAGAACGGTGAAGCTAAATTGAGATGCCAGTGGAATCTATAAATAGAATTGCGCATTGCAATCGTCGACGATGGTCGCATTTGAGTTTTTTCAGCTCCGACGCAGTCGATGGAGCCGTCGGACGCGCAGTACAAGGCGATCGAGACGCCCCGCGACGTCCACCGCAGCGTGCTCGTCGAGGCCCATGGCGACGCCGACGACGACGCCCATACGAACAGTCGCAGCCGGCCCGCGCTCGGGGCCGCACCCGAGAAGAGCAGCGCCAAGCCCGTGCGCTTCCGAGGACGCCTTGTGGTGCGGCTTCCATTGCGGTACATCCCATGTCTCACGCTGCGTGGGGCGGTAGATATGGCCCGGCCTCGTCCTCCTCGCCGTTATCCTCGTCGCGGGCGTCGCCTTGATGACGACGTATGGGTCGAAAGCTCGGGACGCGATGCTGACCCGTCGCAATACGTACCAAGAAGCACTGCGCCGGCGCCGCGTCATTGGCGGCCTTCGAGGCGACAGCGGCAGCGGCTCCGATGAGCTGCTGGTGAGCCCCGACGGTGTCGTAGGGAATCCGAGCGTGTACCCCAAAACCGGTTCGTGTCGCGCCTGTGTACAGCTATGGTGCCAACACGAAGCTAGAATGCGCATTGCCCAACTACGTGAGCAAACAAGGCAAGCTCTTTGCCGAAGGACCCAACGGCGAGAGTGTGCAGATGGCCATCAAAGGCATCAACTGGTACGAGCGACCAGCGCTGAACTCGGCTCATGCATTGCACTCGCAGGTTTGGCATGGAAACCTCTCTCGCCGTGCCCTTCGGTCTCTGGACGAACGATCAGAACGGCACGACCGTGGTACGTCGCTCGTTGCATGATAGCGGCGCCTCACGACGACATTGCAGTATGAGGTTGCCCTTTTCCTCGCCAAGCACAAGATCAACAGCATTCGGCTCCCGCTGTGCGTCTCGAGCATCCTCGCCAACACGCCGCCGCTTAAAAGCGTCGTCAACCAGAACCTCAACCGCGCGCTCGATGTCACGTCGTACTTTTCGACGATCGACACGCTGACGAAAGCACTCGCGTACCGCAACATTACCGTCCTTCTCGATATTCATACGCTGACGCCGACAGTCACTGGTGGCTGGCCGTGGAGCGATGGCACGCCGTACACGCAAGCCGACTTCCTCCTCGCGGTCGACAAGCTCACCAAAGCCTTTTGCAGCAACGCGTTCTGGAACATCATTGGCGTCGACCTCAAGAACGAGCCGCACCTCTCGACGTGGGGCGACGACTCGGCCGTGGACTTTCGCCTCATGGCGCAGATCATCGGCAACCGCGTCCTCAAAGGCTGCCCCAACTGGCTCGTCTTTGTCGAAGGGATCTCGAGTGCGCAAACCCTCACGATTGGTCGCGACACGTTCTCCTTCTTTGACTGGTGGGGCGGCGGCCTCGAAGGCGCGGGCGCGGCCCCCGTGCAGCTCGACGTCCCCTCAAAGCTTGTCTACACGCCGCACTACTACACGCCGGCCGTGTACCCGCAACTGTACTTTCTCGCAAGCGGCACACGCGCCGGAAACGTCATCACCAACTACGTCGAGCTCGACGACGCGACGCTCTTGAGCCGCGTGATGGCGACGACCAACCACATGTTTGGCTTCCTCGCCGGCACGCAAGACGCCGTGCTCATTCCCGGCGAGTTTGGCGGCCTTTACTCACAGGATTTGCACCCGAAAAAGACCACGCAGCGCGTGACAGACTACATGATCGAAGTGCTCCGGCAGCCGGGCTATGCGGGCGGGTACGTCTGGGCCATCAACCCCGAGAGCGCGTACCAGTTCAACCCCTCGGACAAGGAAGTGACGGCCACCGAAGGCCTCCTCGAGACCAATTGGCTCGACGTCAACGAGCCCTTCTTGCAGGCCATGAAGGCCATGGACTCGCTCCCGCACGTCCAGCCGTTCCCTTGCTTTCCCATCAAGACGTAGCTTATGTATTTTATCATGTCATTTATGCATTCCTCGGACTCTTGCCAGCGAATCGCTTAGGGTTTCGAGCCGTCCGGGATCGGAACGCCCCAGTCGCAGTCGCCTTCGATGCCGAGGTTGTCGCTGTGCATCTTGATGCGGAACCAGCCGTTCTCGCCCCAGTACGTGCCCCATGAGTTGCGCCCGATCCAGTACTCGGTTTGCGTCGCTTCGTCAAAGCCCCAGCCTGCGACCGAGATCTCGTGGTTGGGGATCGGGAGCCAGAGCTTTTCCGAGTGGATGCCCCCCGCGTACTGCTCAAACTTGTCTGTGACGTGCATACCACACCCAATGGGCCCGCGCTTGTACAGCTCGGCCTTCATTTGGTTGACGCCGCGCACATGGCCGTACTCGGCGACGTAGTAGCTCTTGAACTTGGTAACGGGGACGCACGCGCCGGGCGTGAACGACGAGTTGGTGGGCCAGCACCTGCACACAAGAACACGTCTGAGAAGACAGCGAAGAGTGCTAATGCATACGTCTCGCAGACGCCGAGGGCCGAGCACTGGCCGTCCTTGGCCACGTACGCTTGGCACGTCTGGTCTGGAATACCGCGCTTGTGCGCATACTCGTACACGGCTCCGGGGTTGCCGCCCTCGCACGAGCCGCCGCCGTGGCAGTTGACGAGCACTTGCGGCGACAAGGCGACTTCCGGCCACGAGGCTACACAACTCCGTCGCAATCGTTTATAGCAAGACAGCCATGTACCGTTGCGAAGGATCGAGATGCGGTCCGAGAGGGCGCTGGTCGTGCCTTGCGCCCAGCAGCTCCCGCAGTACTGCGGAATGTGCTGGTTCTTGTCCCAGCTCACAAAGTTGGTGCCAGCAATGTTGCGCCAGTCCCACTGCTTGGGCAGCGACGCGACGTCAACTTCGTCGATCGGGCGCGGCGAGAGCACCTTCTCGCCATGGACAAAGTGCACGGGCGACCGGTTATAGTTGCGGCCGGTAGGCCGCGACAGCGATTGCACGTCACCCGACCAGATCGGCGCCTTGACCGGCGACGTCTTTGTCGTGTGGCGCTTGGGCCACCCGTTGTCCGAAGGCACGCCAAACGCGCAGTCGGTCTCGACACCGAGGTTGTTGTTGCCGCGACGAAGGCGGAACCAGCCTTCCTCGCCCCAGTACCTACATCGTACTGTGGGCGCCTTTGCCTCGGCTATGAATGTACATACGTGCCCCAGCTGTTGCGGCCGACCCAGTACTTGGTGCCGTCGCGCTCGACGCCCCAGCCCACGATCGAAATGTCATGGTCAATGTCGGTGCGGCCCGTCTTGTCGTCGAGGACGCCGCCGTTGTAGTGGAGAAACTCATCCGTGACAGCGACGCCGCACACGATGGGCCCGCGGGCGTGAATCTCGGCCATCATCTTGGCCTCGCCGTCGACGTTGCCGTACTCGGAGACGTGGTACGTGTCGTACGAGGTCTGCGGAAAGCAGCCTTTCGACGGCACGCAGTTGCGGCAAATGTCAATGTCGGTGCACGTGTTGCCGACGTCGTGGCCCGTCGCCAGGTACCGCTGGCAGCCTTCTTCGGGGATCCCGTGCTCGTGGATGTAGCGGTACGCACTGAGGCCTTCGCCGCCATGGCAGCCCTCGTCCTCCTTGTCGCAGTTGAGGAGCACCTGCGGCGACAAGTTGACTTGGCGCGTCACGAGCACACGGTCTTTGCCGTCCGGATGCAGCTCGCGCGCGATGCGGATGCGGTCGCTCAGCGCCGACGTCGCCGCTATCACGCTTGCATTAGCATCGGGTCAAGTAGCGATATATGCATACCAAAGGCCCAGCAGGACCCACAGTAGTGCGGCACGTGCTGGTTGCGCGAGACCGTGACAAAGTTGGTGCCATTGACATTGCGCCAGTCGAACTGGTCGGGCAAGGCGTCGGCCGCAAGCACCTCGTGCGGGCGCGGCGTCAAGAGGACTTGGGTCCGGTTCGGGTGGCGCTGGTGGCACTTGGTGAACGCCGACGCCGTCGTTAAGAGCGCCACGAGGGAGCTGAGCAGCAGCATCGTCGTTGTCTGAGCTCGAACGGGCAGCTTGGGAAATGACTGCGGCCAAGATCCGTGGAAGGCTCGAGCCGTGCACTGTAGTACTTGAGCCAATCAGGAGCCGCAAAAGATTGCCTCCGTCCTGCAGAGAAGAAGATACCGGAATGGTGATTGCTTCGGCGAACGACATCGCCGCTTCAAGTCCGAGCGGCCGCGTGGGGCTGAGCATCTGAAGTCCCTTATTCAGGTCTGCGGGACCGCTCGCTGCAGCGCATCGCTTCGCTTTCAACCCTCGACGCTCGTGGCGTCGGCCTAGGGTGGGGCGCTGCTGGGTGACGACCGCCTCAGATGCTTATCCGGATGGCGCGATGCGACATGAAGCATAAACGGCTTATGATTGGTGCATTGGCTTTAAGGATCTAAACGAACGTACGAGATGTGGAGATTTCCTTGTCCAAAAAGCACGTTTGCGCTCATAGCAATGCGCTAATTTAAACACTGTGAAGATTAACTCATTAGTAGGTAAAGTCTTACCTGTGAAATTTTATATTTCACAAAATAGACGTGATGCAAACACAGAGTATGATACCACTGAGTTATACTTCTCTGTCAGGCAGATCGGGGTGATTTCCGTGGAGCCACTAGCTGAATTTTACCTACTAATGAATGACTATTTACCTACTCCAATTCGACTAGCCCTCTTGGCTCAACAAGGTGCTAGTGTTATTATAATGTGCACGGTCGCTTTGCGTCGACTAAATGGCGTCGCCAAGAACGTCACTATCTCCACCATCGTCCAGGGTTGAAAGATTCACCGCAGCAAATGACACTCAACTTCGAGGAAGATGTGCGAGCGAGTGGCAGCGCGAAGGGGCTGCGCACTTGCACGTTTGGTGGAATAGCTACTGCTGCGAGAGCTTGGTTGATCAGCATGCGACGAGCTGTCCAAAGGAAGCGTTGGACGTAAATGGCTTATATTTCAAAAGACACGAGAAGGGTCTTGGCGACGAAGAGCCTATCGAGCTTCTACGGCTTACTTCTTGACGAACTCCTACACAACACATGAGCACAAGTACGTCGTGAGCGGACGCGCGTACGGTCGTCGCGCTCTCTGCACAGCGGAAGAACGCGTCGGCGATCTCCTTGCAGACCAAGACGTTCTTCGTGTTGTCGTGGTAGCACTTCAAACACGCGTCGCGCTCCGACGAGCACTGCACGTCGTTGACGGGCGCGCTACAGCCTTCGTGAGCGCCATGGTGCATAAAAAGCAGTGCGTACCGGTATTGCTTCTTGTTGAGCTCCTCAACGAGCGCCTGGACACGCTCCTTCTCTTCGATCTCGGCCTGGTGGGCGTCGATGACACGGACGTTCTTCTTGGCAGCTTCGGCTTCGATGCGCTTCTTGGCATCCTCCGCGCCCTTGGCGTATGCCTCCTTCTTGAGCTTCTCAATCTCTTCCTTCGACACGCCCCTACATGCGCGTTAGCGACGGCGTATCTTTTCGCGGCGGCTGCTGGACGTACGCCGGGGCGACCTTGGCCTGCGCCGGCGCCGCGGGCTCGTGGAGGCTCTTGACGAGGTCGGCCGAGACGCGGACCTGCGCCGTCGGCTGCTGCTGGCCGGCCTCGCGCTCCTTCATGAGCTTCGTCTGGTCGTCCTCCGTGATGCGCGATTGATGGGAGCCCATGCTGCTGCTGTTTACTCAACCCAACAATACTGCGGCCTTGCCGTCCAGAAAAACGAGCGACCTCATTCGACTAAGTTCGCCGGTCTTTACCGAGCGTATCCGGCTGCATAAAGCGGCGACCACCTCCCACGGTCATGCCAGATCGTCGAGCCATCCCTAGCAGCGCAGTGAACCGCTTGGCTTCCTCCCGACGCTAAGCCATTTTACAGCACGAGCTAGCCGCCTCCTTAGCGTGTCCTGCCATGAGCCAAGCTAGATGCTCACAGCGAGATGCCACAAGATGAACAAGCTATCGGCTAGGTCTTGCAGAGCTCTTCGTGGATGCCACCCAGCACACTTGCAACTCAATCCTAATCACCGCCCTAGTGCCATGGGCAAGGCGACGTCATGGACGCGATTGCGACAAGCACGAGCGAATTATTGCATTATCAGCATCATCCAGCTACGCTGCTACTGTAGCACATTGGTCACGCAGCTTAGAGCACACCGGGGATGATGAGCTTCGGCACGCGCTCGCAGTACTTGTCCCAGTCCTTGCCGTACTTGGCGCGGCAACGGGCGTCGTCACGGAAGGCGCGGTCGCAGAGGAGGATCGTGAGGAACGTGAGGTAAAAGTACGGGACGAGCGAGCTGTCCCACGCAGGGAGGCTCCAGCACAAGGCGCCGAGGATCTCGGGGATGTAGTGGAAGTGGCGCGAAACGCCCCACCAGCCGCACGTGAGGAGCAAGCTCTCCTTCTTCTCGCCCTTCTCGGTCGTGTACGACGCGGTGATGTACTCGGGCTTCTTACCCCAGACGAGGCACTTGCCGTTCGTGCTGCGGAACTCCATGCGCTGCTGGTCGGCCCAGTAGTTGATGTAGACCATGAAGCAGCCCGTGACAAAGAGGCCAACCGCCAACGGCGTGCCGAGGTGGACAGGGTTCTGCACCAAGTACATCGTCTGCGACGTGTACACGGACGGCACCCACACGAGGCAGCCCCAGCAGAGGTAGTAGCCGGCGCGGTCGTGCATGATGTCGATCGAGCGCATGTAGCCGTCCTCCCACCAGAAAAACTTGGCCACGTACACAAGCTGGAGGCCGACGCTGACGAGCATCGAGTCGCTCACGTAGCCGAGGATCTCGTACTGCTTCCACGCATACGACACGATGCCGATGCCCCAGAACATCATACCGGCGCGGCAGTTGGTGAAGAGCTTGACGTCCCAGCCTGCACGTGGTTCATGAGATGACAGCAGTGGTCTTTAGAAAAGACGTACCAAAGATGCGCGGGTAGAGCTCCGTGCCGGCCCAGTAGTCGAAGACAATATTGCCGTTGGAGCCGCTGTCGGCCGACGACGGGAAGGTCATGCCCTTGACGTAGAGGAGGCCGCAGAAGAGGAGCGAGAAGACGTTGAGCGCCGAGATGATGTGCGTCATGTGCGAGTACGCAATGCCGCCTTCGAAGACGCCGTAGTAGGCGCCAGCGACGTAGAGCGCGAGCGAAATGACGTAGCACGCGAAGCCGTTGGACGTGTACTCGGGCGTGTTGCCTGCCGGCGTGACCGGGCCGTAGACCGTCTTGCCCGGGATGAGCTTGATGAACGCGAGCTGGATGGCCATGAAGGTGAGGATGATCTGCCACGCGACCGGGTCGAACGGCGTCGGCCAGATCTCCATCAAGGTCGACCAGAAGCCGTCGGCCTTCATGCGGTCGACGAGGGGCATGATCGCACCGCCTTCCGTGCAGAAGACGTGGACGAAGATGATGGCGGCGATCGGCGTCGTGGCCATGAGGAGGAGCGGCCCGATGACCGTGCGGCCAGGCAGGAGGCCCGCGCTGGCGTCGGCTTTGGCTTTGTTGGACCACATGCGAGGAGGAAAGCTAAAGTGACATCAGGGCCTTCGATGGATGGCGTCTCCGGCCGCGACTCCGGCTTTTCGACACTTTGTAAACACGCTGATTGCAGCCCTGATTGCAGCCTACGGAAACGCGGCAGTTATCCGGATGCACACCGTTGCTCTTTTTTTGTTGGCGACACATGGCACGCGCAACGGTGTTTGTAGCCGACAGAAGTCGCGCCTCGTGATGGTATCCGGACGCCGCCCAGCCTCTGGTTTATGTAGCAGATGACATGGCCGTGAGTCACATCATTTCTTTTACGACCTCGCATTTAAGAAAACGTTCTTCAATTGCCGTTGCCACCGATGTTGTTTACTGCACGCGGCAGCGGCCCATAAGCAATCTCGTCGTAGCGATGACGTGCTCGCAGCCCACGACGAGGCGAGATTCACAGTCTGAAGGTCAATGCTGCTCAACCTCGAAGCTCGTAGCCCGGCTCGCTGCCCCGTGGGCCCGGGCCCGCGAGATCCAACAACGACTTCAACTTCGATGAATGTCGCACGCGCCATGCACGAAATCCATATCTTATCGACCAGGCTCGTTGGCCGTCAAACGAGTTGAGGATGTCTTCGCCCTGAACCAATGGTTCGACGTCGACGTACATGAGCCTGCAGTGTACCGGTACGTTCGTGTGCCTGGTTTTATGCAGCTCCACGCAAATCTTCGCCTGCCTTCCAAAGATACGACGCTCGTCATCGGCTATAAGAACTATCGTGCGGGTCGCTCTGCAGATCTATTTCACGGATCAGAGCATGCGCATCGTCCTGCTGGCGACGGCGGCGCTGGCCGTGCGCCACGTGCCCATCGACGACTTTGAACTGACGCAGCGACTCGCGACCAAGACGCCGTACTACTCGCAGGCCGAGCCGTTCGAGATCGACGCGCCCGCTGGCTGCACGCCTGTCCAGGTCAACATGGTCGTGCGCCATGGCACACGGTTCCCCACGGCCAAGGTCATCAAGAAGATCGCGTCAGTTGCCGCCAAGCTCCAGTCGCAGGCGTCATCTGTGCCAGAATGGCTCCATGCATACGACGTCGAGCACGAGTTTCCGTTGGCGCGCGAAGCCGAGCTCGCGCCGGCCGGTGTCGACGAGCTCGTCGGTCTCGGCGATCGCGTGCGGCAAAAGTTTGGTCTTGCGTTCCAAGCCAGCTACGACGAGGCGGCCTATGTGTTTGAGCACACGTGGAAGACACGGACGGCGCAAAGCGCCCAGGCGTACGTGGAACGACATATTGCTGCTGTCGTTGACATATCTCGATTAGGTTTGCGCACGGCTTCTTCCGAGGCGACGACGCCGCCGTTGTGTACCAAGTGGCCCCAAAAGGCCGCGATGTGGAGCTCCGCTTCTTCGACAACTGTCCGCAGTTTACGGCAGCCGTCGACGACAACAGCACGGCGTGGTCCGAGTACGCATCGTTTCCGACATCGCCGTCGATGCAAGCCAACGTCGACGAGTTCCGCTCGACGCTGCAGATGCCGTCGCTGACGGCGAGCGACCTCGATGCTGCCTACGAAGCTTGCGCGTACGACGTCATTTGTCTCTCCTCCTACTAGTCATGGCGATCGTAGGTTTGACGTTGCAGTGCACCATCGTCAAGACCGGTGGTGCAGCCTCTTTGGCGTCGACCTCTTGGCGTCCATGGAGTACTTCAAGGACTTGAAAGCGTATTACAAGAAGAGCTACGGCAACCCTCTCGCCTACGAGATTGCTGCGCCGCTCTTGTCGAGCATGCTCGCGGGCATGGCCGACGTGCGCGACGGGAAAGACCAACGCGAAGGCCACTTTCGGTTTGCCCACGCCGAGACGATCTTGCCGCTGAGCAGTCTCTTGGGCTACAAGAAGGGCGATCGGCCGCTCCAAGCAGCAGCGTTGCAGCCCCAGCGCCACTTCAAGAGCGCGGTCGTGTCGCCGTTCGGCGCCAACATCGCTTTCGTCCTCTACGCGTGCGGGAACAACGCCGCCGACCACGTCGTCCAGCTGCAAATCAACGAAAAGCAGCTGCCGATACCGGGGCTCGCCTGCATCTTTTGTCCGCTCGCGCAGCTCGAAGCCCATTTTGCCCGCTACACGGCCATGGACTTTGACCACATCTGCCAGTTGCGCAACGAATAAGCTACGGTTTCTGAGTGGTAAGAAGAACGTCGGTGCCCATGCGCAATCCCATCGAGGTGTGGGAAGCAAAGGAGGGTCGCAGTGGCACATATCGACGCTGTCGTTCGCAGAGGTTCCTCTTTGTTTGCTGCCGCCACGACATTGGCTGCAGAGACGAGGGCCTGCTCTGAAAAAGTGCATGTCCATATCCCGAGCGGCCACCTTCAAGTCGCAACCGATGCGTGTCCGCGTCACCCTCGACTTCCACGGATGCGATCGACGGCCATGGCGGCCCCACCTCGCGGGCGTGGACGCGTGGACCTTGACGGCGTCCGTTGGCACCCAGGTGCGTCTGTCTGCGGTTGTCAGAAGCCGCGTTTGGCCAATCAGTCGGCCAATGGCATCGCAGCAATTGATAGATGATGGATGTGGATTGGCTGCAATACCGGTCATTCCACAATTGTCCACGTCACGTTCACATGGCTTCCTCGTCGTCCGTCGCCCGCAAGCTGCCGCTGGACGGTCTCCGCGTCATCGAGTGCGGCCACCTCATCGCGGGGCCGTTCGCGGGCATGATCCTCGCCTACTTTGGCGCCGAGGTCATCAAGATCGAGCCACGCACCGGCGACCAGTGCCGGGACATGCGCCTCATCGATGCGGAGAACCACACGTCGCTGTGGTGGTACTCGATCGGTCGCAACAAGCACAGCGTGTGCATCGACCTCAACACGCCGGACGGACGAGGCATCGTCAAGCAGCTCGTCAACAAGAGCGACGTCTTCATTGAGAACTTCCGACCGGGCAAGATGGAAGCGTGGCACCTCGGGCCACAAGAGTTTGAAGCCACCAACCCCGAGCTCATCTACGCGCGCGTGAGCGGGTACGGCCAGACCGGTCCGTACTTGAGCATGTCTTCTCGTCGCGTACTGCAAGTGAGCGCCTCGTTCATGTCTAGCCAAGCCTGGGTTTGCCTCGGTCTGTGAAGCATTTGGCGGCTTTCGGTGCGTTCATGTCGCGAGAGAGATGGATCGACATATATGCACATGGTGGCTAGGTACGTCAACGGGTTCCCGGACCGGCCGAGCGCGCGCCCCAACTTGAGCCTCGGAGACACGATGGCGGGCCTCCATGCCGCGCTGGGCATCACCATGGCGCTCGTGGGCAAGGAGCGGTCGTCGTCCCGCCAAGGACAGGTCGTGGACGTGGCCATTTACGAATCCATGTTCAACGTCCTCGAGGCGATTGTGCCCGAGTACTCGTACAACGGCGCGGTGCGCGAGTGCTCGGGCTCGACGATCACCGGCATCGTGCCCTCCAACACGTACCCGACCTCGGACAAGAAGCACGTGGTGATTGGCGCCAACATGGACGGGCTCTACATGAAGGTATTTCGTTGTATGGACGCGCCATATCCATGTCATGCCACGTCGTGTCGCTAGCTTATGGATTTGATTGGCGCGCCGCAGCTCAAGGTGCACAAGACCAACGTCGAGCGCGTCCAGTTCCAAGCTGACATTGACGACGCGATCGGCCGTTGGACGGCGTCGCTCCCGCTCGCCGACATCTTGTTGCAGCTTGACAACGCGCGCATTCCCGTCGGCCCCATCAACTCGATCACCGAGATGGCGCAGGACCCGCACTACGCGGCGCGCAACATGTTCGAGTCGGTGACCATCCCTGGCCACACCAAGCCGCTCCAGATCCCAGCGGTGAGCCCCAAGCTCAGCGGGACGCCGGGGCGCACTGAGTGGCCGGGGAAGCCGCTCGGCGCAGATACCAAGTGGTGCCTCGAGACAGTTCTCTGCATGTCACCCGCCGAGATCGAAAAGCTCCTTCGCGATGAAATCGTGTTTGAGGCGCGCCCTTAAGATAGTAACAACCTCACCAAAATATTCAAGACGCGCTTAGTTAGTACATGTAATAGACGCGGGGCTGTGCATTGTATGAAACCTCGTGGAGCGTGGGGCGGTGGGGGATACCAGTTTGCGAAAGCCACAGGCGGCGGTCGAGCGCCTCTTGGGCCTCTTGGAGACGCTGGAGTCGGGCGATCTCGGCGGCGTAGTCGACGCGCGGCGGGTGCGGAGCTTCGATGTCAAACACAATATCTTCGTCGCCCACGACCTCGCGCGCAACGGGCACGCCGTTGACACGAACTGTGACCGTCACGGGCTTCTTGGGCTGCTCCGGCGGCTGCGCGACGATGCGAATGTGCTTGGGCTGCGGTGGGGTGTGGACTTTATGCTGCGGGGTGGTGCTGGCATGGCCCTCGTGCGTCGGGGAAGGGGTCGTCGGGAACGACTGCATAAAGATGAATGGCATGGCGGGTTCAGAGGTCGGTGGTGTCACCTCTGCGGACTTGCCTGCCATAGCGCGCTTCTGTTCTTCCCGAGACACGACGGGCACACGCTTGAACGCATACGGGGTGCTGGTTCTGGACGTCAACGTTCGAGGCTGGGTCGTCGTCGCTGCCGCAGCTTGGTCCTCGTCGCGAGCTGTTGGTTGCTCTTCGGTACGTCGTTCTTCGTTTGTGGGCTCCTCATCGCGCGGTGCTAGCTCGTCGTTTCGAGTCGGCTTCTCCGGCGCTTGCGCGGCAAGCTCTGTCGTTGCCTCGGGTGTCATTTCGGCGCTTGGAGACGCCTGAGTGCGGGTTGCTGGATGCTCCGGCTGGGCTTCCTCGTCAGTGACGCGAGCTTCCTCGGGCTTGGTCACGTTTTCTTCCTGCATGTTATCCACGGTGGCTTCGTCTTGTACGTCGTTGATCGAGACGTCGTGTTCCATAGGGCCCTCCGGCGTTGGCATGGTGACGATCTCGTGGTCGCCGGTCGTCGCCAGCGCCGGCTCAGCGCTGGGCTTCTCCATGTAGCTCATGTTGCGATTCGATAGTAAATTAGATAATGATTAGCATTGAAGATTTGTTGCTGATCAAGCGGCAAAAATGGCGCGAATTCGCGAACTGCGTTCTGGAACATCTCGACTTGCCACTCGAAACGTCTGGAACCTACGATATCCGGATAACGAGGGTTGCGCCTGGGCTTGCCACGTCAGCTGCCGTTCTTGCCCTGACCATTGAGGCGTCTGGCGAGAGGAGATTTCCAGAACGAGGCTCTGCCAGCTGGCTCTGCAGCCGCAAGTTATGGCTCCCACTGCGTGCCACCGTGAGCTCGTCGCGTTGAAGAAGCAAGCAACCTTCACCGTATTATAGAGGCGCGCTGGATATCATGGGTTATGCTCTAACCTTTCGGCTCAGGCGACACCAAGGCAACTTATTTCTTCCCTTGACCATTCCAGTTTGTTGTCAGCGTCGACGCTGCCCACAGGCCGAGTGGCTTGAGTGTTCGAATGGATGGTACCGTTATCCGGCTTGTATCCGGTCGCGCAGCCGACAGCGCCGGCTTCGCATCGGTTCCATGCCATCGCTCCAGCGCGTGCGGCAGCGCGTGTTCATCATCGTCGTCGCGAGCGCCTTCTTCTTCACCGCGAGCCTCGTCTCTGTCATGCAGAAGCAGTCGTCGGCGCTCTCGTCCTACTACTGCTCGCCCGCGCAGCTCAGCGCCGTCCGGTCCTTCGCCTACCAGAACGCGACCAACCAGTCGCCGACGTGCCTCGTGAGCGTACTTGGCCTCCTCGCGCCGACCTCGCTCGACGTGCAGAACCGCCCGCTCCAAGGTATCGCAACGAGCGCCTTGAACTCGTATTGCACGGCAGCATGCTACGGCCATATCCAAGCCGTGAAGGCGAACCTCTTCCCGCCCTGCGACACGATCGTCGATGGCAGCGTGCGCTCGATAGGGTCCGTCGCCATGGACCTCTGTCCGCAAGGCGCCAACGTAGCAACGGTCCCGGTCGCCACTCGGCCGCCCAATCGCACCGGCACCTACTGCAGCTATGCCCAGTACGACAACATGTCGCGGGACCTCGGCCTCAACGACCAAAGCACGCCGTGCGGGTCGACGGCGAGGAGCGCACTCGTGCCGACGCTCATCGCGTTCGACATCAACAACATCCCGTTCAGCAACGTGACGTGGTCCATGGTGAACGCTGTGTGTACACCGACGTGTGCGACGCTGCTTGTGAAGATGAAGGCGTACTCGTACCCTGACTGCGATGGCCTCATTAACCTCGAGACGACGCTCTCGCTCTCCGAGATTGTTCAAAGCATGTGCAATCGGACGAGTCCTTACTACTCTAATGCTACTTAAGGGACAATTGTAACCGTTGTAAGCATGCAAACAAACGATGGAAGACTTCGCGGGAATGACAAAGAGGACGTCTTATCTACTCGCCCTTGTACACGGGCTTGCGCTTCTCGCGAAAAGCTTGGAGCCCCTCGAGGCGGTCCTTGGTCGGGATCACCTGGGCGTAGCAAGCGCGCTCGATGGCCATGCCGCTCGCCTGGTCGACCTCGATGCCCTTGGTGATGGCCTCCTTGGCCATGCGCACGCCGATGGGGCCGTTGGGCAGGATTTCCTTGGCGAGGTCCAGCGCCTTGGTCAGCGCTTCGTTCTCGGCCACGGCATAGTCGACGAGGCCGAGGCGCTCGGCCGCGACGCTGTCAATCTTGCGCGACGTAAAGATGAGCTCCTTCGCCTTGGAGAGACCGATGAGACGCGGGAGGCGCTGGGTGCCACCCGCGCCAGGCAAGATCGCGAGGCCCGTCTCGGGCGTGCCCAAGAGCGCCTTGGCGCCCGCGATGCGAAAGTCGCACGCCAACGCCATTTCGAGACCGCCGCCGAGCGCCGCGCCTTCGATCGCGGCAATCGTCGGCATCGGAAGCTGCTCGAGCTCCGTGAAGGCCGACCGGAGGCCAAAGACGGTCGCGGCCGCCTGCTCGGGCGTCATGGCCATGCGCTCCTTGAGGTCGGCGCCGGCGCAGAAGACGCGCGGCACGGTGCTTTGCAAGACGACGACGCGGACGCTCGTGTCGAAGCGGACCGAGTCCATCGCGGCGCGCATCTCGCGCATCATCTGCTGCCCAAGCGCGTTGCGGGCGGCGGGACGGGACATGGTCATGAGCGCGACGCCTTCGAGGTCACCCGAGAGGCGCTCGACGATGAACTCGGCCGGCGACGCCGACGTGCTAAAACCCCCGCGCGCTGCGCAGCCAAGCTGCGAACGATGATACGACGACCCAACATGATGATGACAAAGCAAATCTGCAATTGGCACGCCACAGTCTTGGCACCCGGATACCGTATCCGGAAGTTCAAGTTGTCTGTCGCACGCAAAAGGGCAACTTGGGGCGTGCACCAATAAGATCGGAGACTCGACCGCACCACCGCGAGGGTGTAGCTTTGCTACAAGGCGGCGTGTAGGACGATCACTTTTACGTTGTGGCCTCTTGGTTGACCGACTCGAACATCCTTCGAGCTGGAATGGGCTGTTGCTGCTTGGGCGACGCGGTAGGCCACCTTGGCGACAGCGCCTTGCAGTCTGCAAGGCCATGTAGCTTGAATATCTCAACTCTGCAAGTTGCAGAGTATAGGTATCTTGCTCTGTTGCAGTCAACTCTATCACGATGCTTTGTAACCGGCGGGGTATAATTAACTTCAACAACGCCGGCCCGATGGCCAAGGTCACGCCGCACAACGACGAGCGGTTGAGCCCGATGAGGCAGTTCTCGCTGCGCCTCGACGATGAAGTGCGTTATGAGACGCCGCGCGTGCGCGAGGACGTCGCGCCGCCGGTCTTCAAGGCGCCAGTGTCGCTCGACGGCTTCCTCCTCCTCGACACGTGCCGTGGTGCGTCGTCGTCATATCCCACATTTGTTGAAGCGGAGGTTCTAGTCGAGTTTCCCGAGGAGGCGTCGCGCGCCGACGTGAGCGGACTCAACATCACCGCTGTTGTGTCGGACGACCTTCAGTACTTTACCAACCTCCTCTTTCTCGACATGAGCGACAACCAAGTCTCTTTGGCTCCTCTTGCTAAATGACTCAAACGACGGCCGCACTAGGCGCCACTCGAGCCGCTCGGCGCCTTTCCCGTGCTCAAGGATCTCGATTTTCAGTGCAACGCGCTGCACAAGATCGCCAATATCACGGGCTTTGAGAACTTGGAGGTAGGACGCCGCTGCATCTGCACGATGCCGCTCACACACACGTAGTGGCTTAACCTTTCGTTCAACTGCCTCGTGAGCAAGGACGTCGAAGAGCTCTCCAAGCTACCCAAGCTGCGCGAACTCTACTTGGCGAGCAATTGGATCACATCGGTGCCACCCATCATGGTTCGGCATACGCTAGCTTCCTTCGTCTCGTCGAATGTGTGTCTGGCGCAGGATCGGTTTTTGCGGCTCGAGACGCTGTCGCTCGAGCGCAACAACATTCCTGGCTCGGGCGTCTTCCTCCTCCTCGCCGTCGCGCCGCGCTTGCGGAACCTCAACCTGAGCCACAACAAGATCACGGAATTCCCCGAGGTGCCCTCCTTCAACTTGCTTATTTTTGTTTGTGAATCTTGTGTCTAGAGCGCCCTGGAGCTTGGAGACAAGCAAGGTGGTGGGTTCTACCACCTCGCCTACCTCAACCTCTCCCACAACAAGATCAGTCGCGAAGACGGTGCGTTCCCAGCTGCTGCAATCGAATCAAACACGTCGCGCTAGACATCAAGGCGCTCACGCAGCTGCGCGTCCTCTCGCAGCTCGTACTCTACGGCAACCCTCTCGCCCACGCAGCCGTCCAGACCCAAGGTCCGCGTCCATGATGGCTTCGATCCTCATGGATCATCGCGTTAGACAAGACCAAACTCGTGTACAACCCGGTGCCGGGCATGAGCGAGTGCGACGGGCGCGACATCGAGCTCAACATTGTCATCGCGTACCCCGAGACGAAGCGCAAGAAACCGTCGTACAAGAACGTCAGTATCGCGCGCGTCAAGCAGGACCTGCTTCCGACGGTGGCCGAGTTCAAAGCCAAAGGCAAGCGCGCGCTCTTCGCCGACCCTGCGCCGCAGCCCGAGTCCATCTTCCCACCGCGCGTACGACAGTAGTTGCATCGCCACGACGTTCAACTGCTGGTTGTAGCAACCGCGGCGGCAGCACAACGAAGAGACGCCCGAGGTTGTGGCCGAGCCAGGTAGAACGCAGACGACGACGTCTTGGGCAGCGAGCCGACGCGGTGCGTAGACATGACGTTCTTGACCGGCGTCGGTCTCGAGAGCAGCGCTGTGAGCGGCCCGCACTCGATCCAGGCGCGCCGACGCAAGGTCTCGGAAAGATGCGAGGACAAGCAAGTCGCAATCTGAAGCGTAGGACCCGAGTGCGGTGCAGAACGACGTCCCGTCCTACTTCTTAGCGCGGTCGTTGGCCCCCAACTCGGAGGTCCGAGGCGATCCTGCCTGCTTCTAATACGTATATGCGTAGTCGCAACAAACCAAGCTCAAGACGGCGATGGCCAACTTGCGCTACCAGCTGACGCACCCGCTCACGTCGCACAGCGACGAGCGGCTCAACGACGACGTCTCGGCCGTGCGCCCCACCGCCGTCCACAAGGTATACCCGTCCACCTTTCGGACCAACGCTAACGCCCTCGTAGCTCCGGCAACGGAAAAAGTTTGGTCAAGCACCGCGGGGCCGCTTTGGTACGACATGCATACGGTGTCTGCCCTGGCGACGTGGGGTTCTTAGCACTGGCCTCGATCGACCAGGCCATCGACGACGTCAACGCGCGGCTGCACAACCGCGGTAGCCTCTCTATGTTCTCGCCCACGCTGCTCACACGGACACGGTAGTGGACGTGCTGGACGATGGCGACACGTCGCTCAACCACCTCGTGCGGCAAGCCCACCGCATGACGCGGAAGCAGCCGTGAGGGTGTCGCGTATTTAACCCCAAGAGAAAGAAATCGACACACAACGCAATAGGGGTAGGTAGATGTGGGAGTAGTTAAAGTAGTGAAAAGCAGTCTCCAATATCGCGACGACAAAATAATGTTTACGTCGACGCGTAGTGCATGATGCGGTAGAGGAGGACGCGGCCGCGCGCGTTCGCGACGGCAAAGTACCCGCTGCTCGGCGAAAACTCGAGGGCTGAGATGTAGTGCAGCGGCGTCTTGACCGTCGGCCAGTTGCCAAAGACGGTCGCGGACGGCATGTGCACCATCTTGAGCGCGTCCTTGGTTTCGCGGGACGCCATCGCGAGGATCTGCGAGTCGCCGTTGAACTTGAGCGACGAGATGCCCGTCGTGAGCTGCATGAGCGACTTGATCGGCTTGGGCGTCTTGCCGTGCGCGAGCTTGCTTGCGTCATAAATATTGACAACGCCCGAGTCGGCGCCGACCGCGACGAACTTGCCGTCGCCGCTGGCCGCGATCGCGCCGTTCCCGAGACTACCTTCGTCCTTGACGCGGTAGAGGCACTTGCGCATGCGGAGATCCCACTTGTAAATGTCGCCGTCGCTGCCCGTGCTCATGAGGTAGTTGTCGTCGGCGCAAAAGGCGGCCGCGCGCGCCGACCCCGTCATCTTGAGGCTGCCGATGAAGTCGTGCGACCGCTCCGAGAGGAGCGAGATGACGCCTTCGTCGCCGAGCATCGCAATGTGCTCGCGGCCCGAGACGAACGACGTCCACTTGGTCTCCTTGCGGTTGCGCACGCGCGGAATGCGGTTCACGTGACCGCCTTCAATGTCGTAGACGTAAAACTGCGGCCGCGGACCCGTCATGACGACGCGCTTGCCATCGTTCGAGAACTGCGCACACGAGATCGGCATGTCCTTGAGGAAGATGCTCTCGATCTTGGGGTTCTCCGAGCCGTCGACCTGGAAGAGACGCAGCGTCTTGTCGAGGCCGGCGGTCAAGAGCAGCTGGCCGTTGGCGTGGAATTGCACCGACTGCACCACCGCGTTCGACGGGCTTTGCTTGTTGGCGTCCTTCATACGCGAGATCGCGAGCGTCGTCGGGCTGAGCACGTCGCCGCCGCCCGTACCGAGCAAGCTCCCGGCGCCGGCAAAGAGGTCTTCTTCGTCGTCGCTGTCGTCCTCGCCACGCGCCGCCGCCTTCTTCTTGTCGAGCGCATCGAGATCGGCCCACGACGCAGCCGAGCGACCCGACTTGAACCTACACGCAGCATGAGCACTTGATACGACGACGTCGATGCAAGCACGCACTGCTTCTTGAGACGCTCCTGGTAGACGTCGCCCGACACCTGCGTCTCGTCCTCGGTCTTGCGCAGCTTCTTGAGGCGCGCCTCGAGGTTCACGACCATGTCGTCGTCGTCTTCATCGACCCATGCGGCTTGACGCTGAACCGGCGTCGGCGACTCGGGCGCCGGGCGCTTGGCGGTCTCGGCGGTATGGAAGAGCTGCTCACGAAGCGCGACTTCTTCTACAGCCGGCCTTAGCATCCACGCAGCCCGATGGCGGCCACGTACCATGCGACGGAAGCGACTCGGAGGACATGATGGCACGATCTAATATACCTTCAACAGCTCCTGACCAATTATGAGCTTGGTTCGCACGCGACGATCGAGCGCGCTCATTGGCTAAAACAATCGACATCGCGCTGTGGATTGGCTGAAATGGCCACCATGTGCGCAAGGCCATTGGTCATTGCCTTCCAATGGTGTTCGAACCGGCGCGATCTTGCTTTTTGACACGCATTGCGCAGACAATGCATCCAAGATACACGGGCATGTATTAAAAACGTTAGCGGCCGTCGATCCAGCTTTCTTATGCCAGGTAGCGGTACGTCGTCGCCGACTCGGGGTCGCGCTCGAGGTACTCGCGGTCGATGAGCGCCTCGATGCGGCGCTTGATGAGCTTGGGGACGGGCTTGAAGAACGCGAGCTGCGAGAGCACCTCCGAGACGAGTTGCTGGTGCTGCAGCGTCTTGCGGGCTTTCATGATGCGCACGATCGCGGCCTCGATCGCGATCGACCGGTCCTCCTCGACGTGCTTGGGGTTGTGGCTCTCTTCGAGCGACGCCATGGGCACGCGCACCTTGCGCATCGGCGACGCAAACGAGAGGTTGAGCGTAAACGTGTCCGTGACCGCAATGTTCTTGCTCATCGGCGTCTTCGTGAGGAGCTTGTACTTGCCGCACGAGAGCGAGTGCAAAATGCGCTTGACCACGTCTTCCGAGAGGTTGAGCGACTCGCGGAGGTGCTCAAACGTAAACGCGTCCGTGTCGCTCGCGTTGAAGAGGAGGAGCGCGACGGCCTGGAGCGTCGTCACCTGCAAATCGTACCACTTGTTTTTCGGAAACGTCGCGCGCACAGTCGCGTTCCCGAGCGAGTGGACCCACTGGAGGCGGCGGTGGCTCGTCTTCGAGTCGTAGTACATCTTGAAGAGCGACATGTAGCGCACCATTTGCGGCGGCAAGCTAATGTCGAGCGGCGTGTACGACGGCCAGTGACCCGTCGTGAGCACTTGGACGCCAAACTCGATGACGGCGCCGGACGGCGGGTTCTTCTTCATGAACGCGTCAAACTCCGTTTGGTGGTCGCCGCCAATCGCCAAGTCGTTGAGCATGCCCTCCATCTTCGAGGTGAACTGCGCGCCGCAGCACATCTTGAGCTTCGAGATCATGGAAATCTCCGCGTCGTCCGACGACGAGCGCTGGTTCAGAAGGCGCTTCGCGAGCTGGTTGCGGTAAATCTCGGCAAAGAGATCCTTGTCCGTCAAGTACGAAAACACGCTCACAATCTTGAGCAAGAACTCTTCGACCTGGTCGTCGCTGAGCTTTTCGCCCCCCGACTTGAGGATGCGGTCGCAGAACGTGCTCATGAGCTTGGCCGAGCAGTCCTTGCCCACGTCCTTGTTGACAAACTCGACAAACGCTTCCTTGAGCGCCTTCTGGAAGAGCGAGTTGCCGCCAAACTGCTCTTGGACCACGAGCTTATACTTGTCGTGGAGCGCGAGAATGTCCTTGATAAAGGTCGGGTCCGACGACGGGTCCTTGATGTTGTCGCTTGCAATCGCCGCCGTGCGACGCTCGACAATCTCGTTGCCAACGGTTTCAATGTGGCGGCGGACCAGCGTCGCGATCGGCGCGAGGCCATCGGGCACGCGCGAGAAGAGACGGTACATGCGCGAGAGATCTTCCGACTTGTCGTTCTGGAGCAGCGCAATGCAGCCTACACATGAGCGTGGATAAGAACGCACTGCGCGAAGGGGGACGGTAGCACGCACCCGAGTTTTCTCGCTCAAGAAGGGTCTTTTGGTGCTTCTCGAGGAGCTCGATCTCGAGCGCACGGAGGAGCTTCGCTTCCGTCGTCGAGTGCATGTAGCGAGCGACGCGGCTCGACTCACTCTTGAGGCAGTCTTCGGTCTTGATCATGTACGCCGGCGTCGAGTCGCCCTCGAGCCACGTCTGCGCCTTGGTCGCGTAGTAGGCCGTACTGCGCTTGATGAAGGGCTCTTCAAAGTCCGTGACGTACACGTCAAGCGTGCCCATGCCCATGGTCTCAAAGACTTCAATGCAGTTGCGGAGAAGCGTCGTGTCGACAATCTCACCCTCGCGCTCCTTCTCGACAAGCTCGAGCATCGCATCGACCACGTCCTTCTTGATGCCCTCAAAGACCACCGACTTGAACGCGTTAAGGCCCGACTCGGCGAGCGTCGGCAGCGCGTTGTGCTTGACGTAGTAGCGGTCGAGGTACATGAAGAACTTGGACATCCACTTGTTCATGAGCTTGTGGTTCTGCCAGCGGCGGTGCAGTTCGTTGAGGAGGAACTCATCGTGTTGGTTCTGGAGCTCTGGGAGCACCTTCGTGCGGAGGTACTCGGTAAAGGTCTCGCCGTGGCGCGTGTAGAGCTGCGCCGACCAGTTGTACGGCGTCCGCTGCGTGCACATGTCGTAGCAGATCGTGTAAATGGGCATGTACGACTGCGGCGGGAACGGGCAGGCCGCGACCTTGTCGAAGCCCTTGTCGAGGATGTCAAGGAGGATGTCGATACCCTTGGGCTTGATCTGCTCCTTCCAGCCCTGCTCGAGCTCGATCAGAGGCTTGCTCGCCATGGCTGCCTGATGGGAGGTTGAGGGAAGTTGACACTGGCCAGCCCACGCGAGGACCTTCCGGATACCCGGCCGTAGTTCTTTTTCGAGCCACATACAAATACCAAGCTTCAATCCAGCCGACCTTGCTCGCCGCCGCTCCTTATCCGGATGCGCTGTGAGTGATTGTCCGATTGCTCGTTCGTCCCAGCTCCGCTTCGAGGCGCGTGCCAAGAGGAAGCATCATCATGGGCATCTTCTGCTGCTGGACATGACCATGGTGGCTTCTTCATCGGCGATTGCTGTCCTTGGCATGCCTGTATGCAGTGCTGGCGGGTACAGCTCATGTAATTCCAGTGCTTCCGCTTTGGCTTGCGAGCATAAGCTTGCGAGCAAGCGGAGGGCGGCTGCTAGAAGGCGCATCTGCCGCCGGTCACCACGGACAGTTGGCCTGCTGCTGTCGGCTCTACTAGCACACGACACTTCCCTTGCATGCTACGCGAGGATGCAGCAAAGGAAGGAGCGATGGCCGTGGTGAGACTATCCGTGCATACACTCGTCGCAGCACTCGTGCCGGGAGAGAGTTGGCTGCTCTCGTGCCACCAAGCGCGCCATGGTCGCACACCGGCTGGCCTTTTGCGATCTCATTAGTCTTGAGGCTTACTGTTAGGTGGCGATGTTAGAGGCCGCGTCCAAAAGACGTCCGAAAACAAGTAATTAAAAAAAGGTCGCGCCTAATTAGGACAGCAGCTGGCCGCGAGCGTGCTGTCTTCCAAAGCGCAAGAGTCAGCACCTCGACCACGATGGCGGGCTTGAACCTGGACCAATTGACGATGGAGCTGCTGCCGGAAGATGACGATCTGCTGAGCTACTTCCTCTCATCGGATGTAGCTACAGAAGAGCGCATCGGCGACCTCTCGCTCAACCCGTCGGGCGTGGCCATGGACCACGCGGCCTTGGGCCGCTCCGACGCTGGCTCGGCGTCAGCGTACGGCTACGGCAGCTCGATCCACGGAGATCAACCGTCGTCGTTCCGATCCCACCACCCGTCGTCCAACCTGGACACGGCGAGCACGGCCTCGGGCGACTTTGATGGCCCGGACTCGCCCACCGGCGGCGACAACGACCTCGACACTGACGACGACAAGCGCCAGCGCCGGTACGCGTGTGCACGGTTTCGTTGTACGTCATTCGCTTACGTAGGCTGGCTCGGAACCGCGAGTCGGCGCGCCAAAGCCGCCGTCGCAAGAAGCAGTACTTGGAGCTCCTCGAAGAAAAGGTCTCTTGCTGCCGCGTCGGCGCCGTGTGCTTGACGTGCATTGCCGTGGTATAGGTAGCGCAGCTCACGGAGGAAATCGACGCCACGCGAGGCGAGCACTTGGAGTCGGCCGACAAGACGCTCTCGACGCTCAAGTCGCAGATGGTTGCGTCGCTCTACGAGAAGCTGTCGTCGCTGCCGCCCATGGCGTCGCTTGTACGTCCATGCTACCCACTACACGATGGACGCAAGAGGCGCGTGTTGTGTAGGGACCCGAGCTCACGGACGAGCTGCGGAGCGGAGTCAAGATCATGCAGGAGCGCTACGGCCCCCACTCGGAGGTACGAGCCTTCGTGGCCTTTGTACGCGATACGTAGCATGGTGCTAGGAACGCCGCGCCGTTGTCAACTACCATTTCCAGCAGCTCGACAACCTCCTTCTGCCGCCCTACACGCGCTTTCTCCTCTGGATGAGCATCCAAGTAGATGGATGCACAAGCGTCACTCGGTCCGCTCATTCGGAGTATGTAGGACGAGGCCTTCTTCTCCAAGATCCAGCCTGCCGTGGCAGCAGCGACGAAAAAGTCGTCGGAGAGCGACCGCAAGGACAGCAGCGCCAAGAAAGACACGCTCTGGGCAGCGCTCTCGTCCGAGCTCGGCATGACGTACGAGCAAGAAGAGAAGATCAAGAGCCATTACAAGTACGTCACGCTTTCTTGAAGCGATATGGTGCGATCTTCTACTAGATCGACCGACTCGAAGACAGCCAAAGCCGAGCGCCGCAAGATCGCCATGGCCGTCGTACGTACTCATCCGGATCGGTCCAAGGTCCCTTATGACGATGCGTAGACGTACTTGAACCAGCTCAAGCAAAATATGGAGGAGCGGTCGGCCGCGGTGCAGACGCACGCGAACGCCATCACGTCCATTTTGACGCCGGAGCAGTCGGTCCGGTACCAGCAGTGGGTGCAGCAGAACCGGGAAACGTACCGGGCGTCGCTCAAGGAGAAGAGCGTGCACTTTGCGAACGCGCCGACGGTCGACCCCGAGGGGAAGATCTCGACGATCCTCCGCAAGCCGGACCAAGATCTGACGGTCGAAGACGTCACGGTGCTTCTCTCGACGCTCTCCAAGCAGCATGCGACGCAGCAGGATGCATGAAGTCCCTAGCTTGGACATCACATGGAATATGCAATATATATCTGCATCTCTGCGGATGTGGTCATCGCGTGGACGCATCTCGGATGATGGCGCGCGTCTAGCATCGTCAGGGTGACGTTCGGTGCGGTGGTCGTCGTGGCACCCCCTTTTCTCACAGAATGGCAGTTTTCCGGGTCAAATCTCGTGCGGAGAAGAAGGTCGTTTCGGCAGGAGCGGTCCAGAGCCGAATTTAGCCGACGCCCCATACGCGTCGGATCATGGACGTCGAGACGCAGCATGGGAGCAGCACGATGCTTCCGCCGGCGCCGATGAGCATGCCCGAGCGGTCGGCGTCGCCCCGCTTCGACCCATCCAACTGCGAGGTGCACACGCTCATGGCGATGGACCCGAAGGAAGAGCCGCTGGCGGCGCATGTGCGATCGCTCTTGCGAGAGACGGACGCCGATGTTGCTGGCTACCAAGCGCTTCGAGACATTTGCCTCCAGACGCTGCAACCCAACGCGCTTCCGTCGGCGCAGGTCGCGCACCACCACATGCCCATCACGTCGACGGCGTTGGCGAACGCGGCCCAAGCGTTTGAAGAAAACTCGGTGATTCAGGCCCAGAAGAGCCCCGTGGCCGGCAAAACCAAGCACAACTACACGTTGTGGCGGTCGTCCAAGGCGAAAGAAGGGGCCGAGCCGGCCGAAGACACGATCTCGCAGCAACAGGCGCCGGTCTCGGACCTCATCGTCGTCTTCAGCGGCGACATTACGCCCGAAGACTTTGAGAAGGTACCACTGAATGGCGTCGTGTCGTCCACGTTGCCTCGACGCGCGCTAGATTGAAAAATCACCCAGCGGAATCAAAGCCGACTTCAACCGCGGCCGGCGTGGGCAGTTTGTGTACCTCTGCCTCAAGCGTGACGCGGGGTCCCTCGCGGTCGGCTCCAAGCGACCACCGATCAGCGAAGTCCTTCTGCTGTACCCAGAGAAAGGCGAGACGCTGCCGCCCAACTATGAGTACGTGCTGCGGAGAGGCGTGCCCGCCAACCTCAACACGGTACCGATACCTCCACCGTCCACACGATTTGAAGGCGTGTCTGGCGCAGGGCGTGAGCAGCGAGAAGCTCTACATGTGCTACAAGCGGTCGGCCACGTCGTACCTCACGGACATTGCGCTCATCGTGCCCAAGAAGGGAGAGAAAGTCCCTTACGGGTACGACGTGCATGGAGTCGAGCTCTTGGTCAAGACACACGCATTCTGTTTTTGTAGCTACATGAAGATCGACAAGTCGCTCACGGGGCAGTCGTTCGTCGACAGCTCGTCCAACATGGAGGTCGCCCTTTGCTACAGGAAGCAGGTTCGGCACGATGCATAGATCGTTCATTGCCTTAACAGCCCGTAGATTGGGCTCCTCGAAACCACAAAGCCGCAGTGGTGGCAAGCAACGATGATGGACGTCGTCTCCAAGGGCCCCACGCTCAGTGGTACAAATTGAGATCGGAAAGACGCTCATGTTTGGACGTTAGACGTAACGAGTGCGCAGGTTAAGGACACGGAAGTGCGGGCCGAGTCGCCGACGACCGACGAACCAAGCGCGTCGTTGCCAACGCCAGCGGGTCCGACGACCACCGACACGGACCTCGTCATGGCGACCAAGTACCTCTATCCGCTCTTGTACGCATGCCACGTGCGCCATGGGACGGTCGCGCTGCATGCGCTCAGGGCGCTTGAAACGTGCGTCAAGAACGAGTTTGTACTCGCCAACTTGTACAAGGACGACGCGACGCTGCTCCTCACTCTCGCGCAAACCGTCAACACGAGCTGCCAACAAGCGGTGCGCGACCGACTGCCGACGGCGATGACCATTCTTGCCAGCGTACGCGTCTCCTACGCTCCAAAGACGCTGCACCGCGTGTAGGTGATTGGCGCCAACGACGCGGCGTTGAGCCCGCTCGTGCTGCACGAATGCTTGAAAGCACTGCTCTTCATCAACGACTTTGACGACGGCAGCGCCAAGGGGACGCTGGAAGCTCTCATCCACCGCATCATGGACGGGCTTCCCGACTCGAGCGAAAAGCCGCCAGCGGAAGCCCCTTGGTCCTCAAGTAGTAGCAGCATCGACGTGTGCATGGCATCGCTCGTCACGTCCCTCGCCGACAACGTCGTGACGTCGGTCGAAGTGGCCCGTGTGAACGAAACTGCCCTGAACGTCTGCAAGGTATACTCGCGCGGACCTTCTGCGCCTCTGACATCAACACGACAGGGCCACGCGTCGATCTACTCGACTGGCTACTGCCAGGAGCTTCAGGCGTGCATCGCGCCCGTGCTGCGGTCCAACGTACCATACGCATTCGTGCTGGTGGTGCAGGGGAATGTAATGCGTGGCGTAGGCGGCATGTCTAGCCTACCACTTGCTCGCAACCTTGTCCAAGTACGCGATGAAGCGCAATTGCTCGGGCGCCGACGACGTCGACTGCGCGTCGATCTGCAATACGCTACAGCTGCTGGACGCGGCGCTCGTCGCGGGCGCGAAAGCGTTCAAAGAACATGCTTTTTTTGGGCAGCAGATTCGGCGGTTTGTCACGTCGGTCGTGCACACGGCGGTCGTCGTGTGGTCCGAAGGTGTCTTTGGCTCGTGTCTGCGCTTGGTCTCGACGCTCTGGAACCACTACCGGCGCCACCTCAAGATCGAGCTCGCGCTCTTGTTTGAGAACGTGTTTTTGCGCATCTTGCGCACACCGTCGGCGGTGGCGGGCAGCTACCAACGTCTCGTGCTCCAAGAGCTCACACCGTGGTTCCAGCTACCACACAACGTCATTGAGATCTTCCTCAATTTCGACATGGACCGCCAGTTTGTGCAGCAGTGGAAGGTCTTTGAGCAATTTTGCGCCGTCTTGTGCACCATCACCGAGGCGGCGTGCGCGACCGCCGACGACGCCGACGAGCACGCGCCACCGATCGGGGTTGGTCTCTGCGGTTTACCAACTGCTTGCTGATTGCAATCCCGTAGGAACACGCCATGACGACGCTTCTCGCGATCCTCCGGAGCCTCATGGATGCGAGCGGGCATGCGCACTTGATCCTCTCCAACGACCGGACGCGGATCTTGTCGATGGCCAAGGGCGGGTGGGAGCTCGACGAGTCGAGCGAGCCGGCTGAAGAGGCGCCGACACTCACCGAAGCGCTGCCCGGTATCCTCACGCGCAAGAGCTCGAGCAGCGACAAGAGCCGCGAGAACAAGCTCGGGTCGGCGTATGGCTCGACCGTGCGCGAGCGCAACGAGATGCAAAAGCAGAGCCAGCAGCTGCTCAAGCGCGGCATGGAGATTGCCGAGACCAAGAGCTTCAAGAAGGCGCTCGAGTACCTCATCGCGATGGGTCTCATCAAGGAGACGCCGCGCGACATCACGTCGTTTCTGCGCATTTACCACACGTTCTTCGACGAGAGCGACATTGGCGACTACCTCGGCGAAGGCGACGAAGAGTTCAAGCTCCACGTGCGCCTCACGTACGCACGCGCGATTTCATTTACGGGCATGACGCTTGTCGAAGCGCTGCGGCACTACCTCACGAACGGCGGCTTCAAGCTGCCCGGCGAAGCGCAGAAGATCGCGCGCATGGTCGAGGCGTTTGCGCAGTGCTACTACGACGACACGCACGGCGCGTCGTTCGGGAGCTCGGACACGATCATGATTCTAGCCTACTCGATCATCATGCTCAACACGGACCTCCACAACCCGCAAGTTAAGAAGAACAAAATGTCCAAGGACCAGTTTGTGAAGAACAACCGGGGCATCGACAACGGCAACGACGTGCCCAAGGCGCTCCTCGAAGACATTTACGACGACATTCTCGCGACGCCGATCCAGTTGAAAGGCCTCGCGTACACGATGGCGAAGCGCGACAGCAGCCGCAACGCCGACGCCGAAGTCGACAAGTTCCACGTCACGCTCGCCAAGTCGGTGACGCAGTCGGAAGACCTCACGAAAGACCTCGCGTTCTCCAAGTACACGTTCCACTTTTTCGGCGTCGACGCGAGCATTAGCCCCGACCTGGTCAAGATCTTATTCGAGCGCGTGTGGTTCCACTTTCTAGCACTCTCGACGACGATTTTGAGCAACCACCAAGCCGACGTGGCCATCGTGCTGCAGTGCCTCGACATGCTGCGCTACTGTATCTCGACGAGTCTCTTTCTCGAGATGCACACGGAGCGCCAAGCGTTTTCCAACCAGCTCACGAAAGTCAAGACGTCGGCGTTCGTCAAGGAGCCACCGACGACGACGACGACCAGTGCGGCACCGCTGTCGCCGACGCAGGCCGACGGCGAGCCCGACTGGCTCACGACCATCGAGAAGAACGCGGCGACGGCCGACCCGTGGACGGTCATTGGCGACATCCACGTGTACGTCAACAAGCTCAAAGAGTCGATCGAGAAGCGCAAGACGGTCGAGACGCTCACGTCGGTCGTGAAGCGCATCAACCACAGCCAGGCGTATTTGCACGACACGACGCACTTTGTACGCGAAGGCGACTTGACCAAGCGCTGCCGCACCGGGCGCAACCGCCTCTACCGCTTCTTCCTCTTCAACGACCAGCTCTTGTATGCAGACAAGTCGAGCATTTCGAGCAATTGGAACGCGCACCAGTCGCTGCGCCTGCGCCTCACGCGCCTCGCTGACATCCCCGACAGCCTCCTCCTCCGGCACGCGTTCCAGATTCTCAACCCGGTCAAGACGTTCACGGTGCTCGCCGAGAGCGCGGCGGCCAAGGCCGAGTGGATGTGGGCGATCGAAGAGGCGATCGCAGAGGCCAATAAGAAGACCAACCGCATCGCGCGCCGCCTCACGCACCACCATGGCAAGAAGCGCGAGCACAACAACCTGATTGCAGAGGCAGCGAAAGCGACGACCGACCCGGTCGTCGTCGACGTCAAGCCCAGCAGCACGGAGAGCGTCGAGACGGCGCACCAGCTTTGGCTCTTTCAAGTTCAAGTGTAGGCGCACCACTCACTCCATGCTAGTACACATTTGCATTGCTTGCTTGTGCTATTACATCCAGACGCATTACATGCGACGGTGGTCCAAGGCCGGCAGCTGGCGGCGCGTGCGCGTGATCACGTCGAGGTCGACGTCGCCGAGCACGAAGCCTTCGCCTTCCCGTAGCTCGGATACGATCTTGCCCCACGGGTCGATGAGCATCGACTGCCCCCACGTGCGTCGACCGTTTTCGTGGGTTCCGCCTTGGGCAGAGGCGAGGACATAGCATTGGTTCTCGATCGCACGCGCGCGCAGGAGAATCTCCCAGTGCGCTTCGCCCGTCACGTGCGTAAAGGCAGCGGGCACGACTGCGAGTGCGAGCGGTGCCATGGCGCGGTAAAACTCGGGGAAGCGCAGGTCGTAGCAGACCGAGAGGCCGACGCGGCCACACGGGAGGTCCACGACCGGGACTTGCGTCGTGGAACCAGCGACGATCGTGCGCGCTTCGTCAAAGGCCGCTTGGTTGCCATCAGGCGTGAAGCCGAAGAGGTGCACCTTGTCGTAGCGACCGACGACGTCGCCGCTTGGGTTGTACACGAGCGTCGTGTTGAGCACCTTGGTGGCGTCGCTCGGACACTCGAGCGGGATCGTGCCGCCGATGAGCCAGATCTGGTGCTGCAGCGCGAGTTCGCGCATGCAGTGCTGCATCGGCTGCTTGGCAGCGATCGGCGACGTCGTTAGCGCCTCGCGCAGGCCGACCTTGTCCGTCTCGTGCCGGCCGAGGATGCCCCAGTACTCGGGCAGCACGACGATGGAGGCGCCAGCAGCCGCGGCTTCGCCCACGATGCGGCGGACGGCGGCTATGTTGGGCGGCAGCGTGGCCCGCGAGACGAGCTGGACCGCAGCGACTGCCACCTTGGTCGCTGCCATCGTTGACAGATATTCGCTGTACCAGCAATAGAGCACAGGCATTGGCTATAATTCGCTCATCAAGCTCTGGCATTGGTTGATTTTTGCCGCACGGTCAAAAACCGAAGTAGGGCGAATTTCGAAGTTATGACATCTCGCAACTTGCGAGAATGAATTCGTTAGTCGATCGCGAGGATTAGTCGTTAGCGCGTACTACTTCCTCAGTTGCTTCTATTACCATGACAACTATGCACAGCTATCTATCTATCAACTATCTATCGATCTATCTATCCATCTATCTAACGCTTCTTTTTTCTAAATACCCCACCTAACCCGCGTTTGGCCTCGAGGTCACTGATGCGTCGGTCGCGCTGCAGCATCATGGCCGCAAACTCCTGATTTCGCACCCGGACCTCGTGCTCGTGTCTTGTTACTAGGGCGCTTGTAGCGACCGCGTGGGCTTCGGCGTCGGCTTGGCGACTCGCGTTGGCAGCGGCGAGAGCATCCTGCAGCGTCCGGATCTGCGCTCGGTGCTCGCTCTGCTGGACGTCGCGGACGACGAGCTGCGATACTCTTGCTGAGTGGGCTCTTGCCCGTAAGACGTCGGCGTCGTCGAGTTGCGCGAAGGCTTCTACGAGGCTCGCAGTGTGCCGGTTTGTCATGGCTTGCATCGCGTTCTGCAGCGCTTCGTGCTGCGTTCTCGCTGCTTGCAGTCGCTCTTGATGGACAGCACGTTGCTCGTCCATCGCCCGCGTCGTGTCCAGACGAGCTTGACGCTCGCGCTCCAAAGCGACCATCGACGCGGCCTCCAGTGCTGTGGCATGTGACTTGGCCGCTTGCAGCTCTGAGGCGAGTCGGTTGGTGGAGGCAGCCATTGCGTCGCGCTCGGCCGTCACGTCACGCAATGCGTTCTGGGCCGAGATAGCCTCTTGGGCGACGGCCGCAAGCACTCGTTTGGACTGGAACAGCTGGATCTGGGTGAATTTGGCGGCTGATGCGGCCGCTTCCATCTCCATTTCGTGCTTTCGTCGGCAGTCGGCGAGTGCTGCAATGGCCGCTGCAGCGAGACCCTTGACCGCCACGTTCTCGTGATGGGCGTGGGCCAGTTGTATTTTGGACGCGGCAGCGGTCGAGGTCGCTCTGCTGTCGAGTGCGCGGTGCTCTTGCTGAAGCGTGCTGAACGCGCTGCGGAGCTCGGTCATGTCGCGCTGCGCGCGCTCCTCGGTGCGGTGGAGCTGGATCTTGGTGTTGTGGAGCTCGACCTTGAGGTCAGCGCTGATCGTTGTGGCTGCCACACGCTGGACCCGCGCAGCTTCATGGAGGTCGGCGACTTGGGTTCTGAGCTCGGTAATTGCGGCGTCTCTGGCAGCAATCGCTGCGTCTTTGGATGCAACGGCTGCCTGCAGCGCCTCTGTGCTTTGGGCTGCGCGCTCGGTCGTGCGGTGGAGCCGAATCTTCAAATTATGTACTTGGACCTTAAGGTCGGCGCTGATCTCGGTCGTTGCCACGCGCTGGACCCGTGCGGCTTCATGGAGGTTGGCGACGTTGGCGGCGAGGTCATCAATCGTGGTGTCTTTGGCGGCGACTGTCGTCTGCAGCGCCTGGATGGTCTGGGCACTGTCAAGCAACGGTCGGAGCTGGGTGTCGTACGCTGCCTTGGCAGCAGTCAAGAGCTTGTAGACAAAAGGGCGGAGGCCGAGAAGCACGCGGCGCATCCCGAGGGTGCGGACGAGCATGGCCATGAGGAGGCCAGCGGCGAGGTAGCGCTGGGATTTGACACTCGTGCGCGGCATGTACAGCGCAAGGAAGCCAAGCATCGGCGTCGGCGTCGTCGTCATCATCGTAGAACAGTTCACGTTTGTAAATGAGGTCTCTTGCTTCCTCCTATGGTAAAAGCAGCCTCCGAGCCTTCTGTACGACGCCTTTTGCGTCACGAAGCGCTGGCTTTTGCGCGAAGTAAAATACTGCTGCGTAAAGGGCTCTGAACAGACCAGCGATCGCGCGGTTGCGCACGCAGAGGCTGCGGATCCTCACGCACCAAGCCGCTGGAAGCCGCCAACATGGAGCCCTAAACTACCTACTTGTAGTATTTCCTAGTCCCTCGATTGGTAACAGTACTGCATGATTAGAGTGCTAAAGTCCGCGGTGCATTCATTCCCGTGTGAGGGGCCTTGAGATCGCAGGAAGATTGCGTGCACATTTGGCGGGAACTGCCCAAATACCTCTGTAATCTGATACTTGGAATATGCATTCTCGGAGTGACAAGCTTTGGCCATTTCCCGATCTTCCAAACCGACGCCTCTGCAAGCATGGACGAGAGCGCGCTGGTCAAGGAGAGCTACACGCCAGAAGCGCGACTGATGCATGGGAAGAGTGCCATGTGACTAAAGGCAGCTGCCGGCCGGCGCTCCAGGTGCTACCGCCCCGCCGGCGACAGCGCAGGTCCGTGGCCATCGCTGGCCCTCGTCCTGCACGATGAGCTCTAATGATGGCTGTATGTAGAGTCCTGCTAGTCGCGGTAGGGGACGACCAAGCCGCGCCACCACCCGCGACAGGAACGGTCGACGCCAAGCCTGGTGTCAAGCTCGAGCCCCCTTGGACTCTACTATTGAGTTTCTCGAATCGAAACAACGCCACGCTGGGACAGTACCGGGTACTAGTATCTTGATAGCCTGGACACAGAGATAGTCTGGATACCAAGAACCGCGGAGTCGACCGGCGCGAGGAAGTGCATCACCTTCGGTTGACCTTAATATGATAACACTATGGAATGGATTGAAATAGTGGTTAGGTACCAGTGACGCGATGGGCTCAAAGGGCCTCGCTCGCACGCACGCACGCAATTCTTCTCACACGTTGGCAGCTGCTGCTTGAGTTTACGCAAATGGGCAGTTGGCTGCTTCGGCAACAGCCTTCGGCGAGGCGGGGGTGTCGAGAGCATGGACGTTCTCATTGGGCATGTGGTCACTCCAGACCGCATCGAGTGGAAGGAAGCGAAGCGGTGAGCACGCGTCATCGGGTGCTGGTAGAGCAAGCGACGTACTGTAGACCACGCGCTGGCGCTTTGCAGGTGCATTGTGTTCGACGCTCGGTGCTTCGCGCTTGCCAAGACACGATTTCGAGTGGTCCATGGCGGTAGTGTCGTCCCCAGCATCATCATCGCTCAAGGCCTACAAGTTCACCTTATCCCAGCAGCCAAGCTTGCACTGCTTGGTACTACCTCGTAGAGCGCTTCGCTGATGTGCTGCAAGCCAAGCAGTAGGCTTGCTGTCTCGAGGTTGGCCTGTGGCGACGAGGTTCCTACCCATCCGCAGTCGTAAGCGAGCGTGTCTCGTGAAGGACATACCTGCAGTGGACGCATCTTCACTGCCTGCGAGGCTTCGCACGGCCTTATCCGAGTTATCGCCCGCGGTGGCCTAGAAGAGACATCGTCATCGCATGCTGACGAGCTCGTCACGAAGCGCCATGCACCTTGTTCTTCGTGGCGCCGCCAGCGCTCTCGTCGCAGCCCGCGTCCTTCCTCGCCGCGTCCTCATGCAGCCGCTCGCTGCCCACGTCCGTTCCGGCTGCGGGCGTGCTTGACGTCGAGAAGATCGAGCCCATGACCGGATGCAAAAATGACAGCGGCAACGTTTCGCCCGGATAAAACCACGGTTTCATCCGGATAAACTGATACCGCGGGCAAACCGCGCCAACCGGTTGGTGCATCACCACCCCTGGGTAGCTACACTTGCCTGAGAGCATTTGGCTGCGTGCTCATGGCTGTGTCGGGAGAGGCGTGGGCTCGATCCTCGCTGTAGACAGACATGTCTCGTGCAGGACGGGGCGAAGGTCGCTGGACTTGTGATGTCCTGCCACTTGACTTGCATGCCGTTGGGGCTTGTGCAAAGCGTCACGTTCCGGCCACCGCCGCCACACTGCTAGTACTCTTCACATGCGGCGCTAAGGAGCACGAGCCACTGCCGCACGCAGTTGGTCGTCAGCGCGCTTCACTTGGGTACCATATTAGTGTGGCTGGGTCCAGTGCACGAGCGTACGCCAATGGTCCGAACCGATGACGGTCAACGTCTCGGTCAGCGACCGACGAGGTTGACGCAGTCTTGCTTGGTTGGGAAGAGCCATCGCTGAGCTGTCGAGGCTGCCATGAGAACGAACACACCTTTCAACGCATGACGAAACGACGTGACGATCTTGCTCCGCGGAAGCGCATGCGCCGAAGCAAGCGCGGGTGATCGCAAGGCGATCGCAGAAAGTGATTGAGACGTACGAGATGTACCGAGTGTCCACAGTCAACTGGCAGTAGCACATGCTTCACGTTGTCACCGGTGCCTTTACGCACACATGGAACGGTAGCTGTTATAATGGTTGACTCTGCGCTGCGTTTATAGACATCGAAGCGTGAGGCGAGAGGCCCATCGAATTGGCTTTTGAAGTAGAGAGTAAGCTCTGCGCTACTACGAGGAGCTGCCGGCCTCGCTCGGCGACGGCGAGCTAAGGTAGCAGTGATAAGGTAGCACCTGGCACAGTTGCGTGTTTTACGCCACATTGCAACATACGAGTCTATTACATGCATTTCAGAGGCGGAGATCTAAAAACACGGCTTTTTGGCCCACATGGCCGAGTACCGTAATGACGTATTCAGACTCTCAGTTTTCAAGTGGTGACACTCTCTGGGGTGCAGGTCGACGCCGCCCGATGCAGTCGTCGAGGGAAGAGGTCGCACGGCGCTGGATGGAGATGGTTCTCGGCGAGAACATCCACGGCATCTTCGTGGAAGCGCTCGAGGACGGCGTCATCTTGTGCTTACTCATCAACCAGCTCTACCGCGCCGTGGGCATGAAGCAGTCGAGCTGCCCGTTTGACGAAAAGCATGCGACCAAGCCCACGGGCTACCACGCGCGGCGACAGAACCTCAAGAACTTCCTCTCGTACGCCACGCCTCTATCGCGTTTACCCAGTGCGTCACGCTGCCTCCTCGTAGCGCCTGCCGCTTCTTTGGCGTGCCCCAAGACGACTGCTTTCGCCCGAGCGACCTGCTCAAGCGCCCCAACCCCGACAAAGGTAATACTACGCGCCGTCCTCGCGCCAATGCTCACCATAGCTTCTAGTCTACACGACGATTCTGTCGCTGCAGGCGGCCGTCATGCATCTCTCGCGCCAGCGCACGCCCGAGGAGCGCGCGTCGCTAGGCTCGCTCCACATGTCATCGTCGTCCTTCACAGCGGTACTCGATGTCGCCTCGACTCCTGGCTCTAAGGCGCCTTTGCGCAGGACATGGAAGACACGAAGATGCCCATCTCGCCCATCGTCGCCGAGGCCCCGACGCTGGTTGCGACGTTTGACGACAACGCACCGTTCGTCGGGCCCGGGAGCGCGTCGGCGTGGACGCAGCTGATTGCGCAATACGAAATGCAGCAGCTCCAGATGTACAGCACGCCGCCCGATGACGACGAGACGATCGCCAACGGCGGCACTGGGAAGCTCGCACATGACTTTTGGCGACCGAGGAGCGCGTCCGGATGCTCGTGCGCGAAGAAGCGTTCTGCAAACACATGCCAGAGGAGCTGCACGGCCAACTCTGGCTCATTTTGTCGGGTGCCAACGTTGAAATGCAGGAGAACCCGGGCCACTACAGCCGTCTATTGGCCACCGACCCGATCAAGTCGGACGATCCTCGTCCTCGTCGTGTGCTGACTTGGATACTACGTAGCGCGGAAGCCGTGCGCCAAATTGACGCCGACGTCGACCGCACGGTGGCCCCCGAGGATCCCGAGTGGTCGCTGGACCTCGTCGACGCGCTGCGCAACGTGCTCGTGGCGTATGCGGCACACAACCCGACGTTGGGCTACTGCCAAGGCCTCAACTACGTCGTCGCGCGCCTCCTGCAGTGTGTCGGAGACGAAGAAGCGGCGTTCTGGCTCCTAGAGCGCATGATCACGATGCTACCGGAGGACTATTACACGACCATGGTATGTATCCATCCGACGCTGCACATTGCTGGTTGTCTCACGTGCCGGCGTAGCTTGGCGTGGCGGTGGACCAGCACGTGTTTGCGTCGCTCGTCGCCCAGCAAAAGCCAGACGTCCTTCGCCACATTGAGGTACGGCGTGTATTGTATCAATGTGTCAAGATGAGACTGGGGTAGGGGTTGGGCGGGTTTGGCGCCGAGCTCTCGCTCGCGTGTACCGAGTGGTTCCTCACGCTCTTCGCGAGCCCGTGCAAGAAGGAAGTGACGATGCGGGTCTGGGACCTTCTTTTCATTGTCGGCAACGAAGTGCGGCGACAACAACAGCGCTCTCGTGCGTGGTCTCATGGGCGTTTAGGTGCTCTTCCGCGTCGCCCTTGCCATGATGCACCTCGAGCACGCCAACATTGTGCACTGCCACAACTACGGCGACGTCCTCACGTGCCTCAATCAGGTTCGGAACCTTCCGCACTGCTTTTGCTTGACATTGGCGTGACGCAGATGGGGCGCAACGAGTCGCTGGATCCGAACCTGCTGCTGCGACTGGCCCAAGAACAGGACATCCCAACGATTACGATCGAAGACCTGCGCGTGATCCACCGCCTCGAGCTCGCTTCGGGCATTGCCACCTCTGTGGCTAAGCATGCGGAGGCCGAGACGCCGCGCGGCAGCGCAGTCGCGTCGCCCTCCAAGCGCCGAAAGCACCGCGGGCGCCAGTCCTCCGCCGACCCGCTGCTGTCGTCGCGGTAGACGTTGCTCCTCTATGTATCACGGACTCCT